CTGTTTCTCAAATTTTTAGATATTTCTAGGTCATGCAGCTCAACTGTATTTTTAAGTTGTAATCTCCCCCCCAAATTTCCAATATTGAAAAAAATCCGCATATAAGTGAACCCAGGCAGTTCAAGCCTGTGTTCAAGGGTCAACAGTATTTGTCTTTTGGACATTGGTCATAGCTCACAAAGAATGCCATTGATATCCTTCCACTTGGCATAGAGGAAAACACATACGTACTGTTTTCCAGGATTAATTTTGTGATCACAAAGTTAATTTACATATACTGGCCTCTGGGGAGAAATTGAAGACCAGAGAAGACAGTCCTGGTAAATTCAAGCCAAACCATTATAATGTGTGAATCACAAGTTAAATTTCTTGCACAAGCATTCTTCTAAGAATGGGCTGAGGAAATTCAATTACCTATTTCAAACAGATAAAACAAGTTGAAGGTTCAGTGTTAATTTCTTGCAAAGCAGTCAGGACTCAATATTATGGTAACAATACATAGACTCAAAAGAAGTTTCTACCCAGCCTGGCTAATCCTTAGCTTGAGTGTCTTTAATAGGTAGGTATAATCCAGAACTAAGCTGTATCCTCTTAACAGTGTAATGGTGCTTTATATCTACAAAGTATTGAGAACTGAGTCAACAGTCTTACCTATGGGTTTCCTGTTAAATACTGTTGAAAATCTTGGCCTGTGTTTTGAACTATGTGGCCAGTTTTCAAAGTTTGTGCTGTGATCTGAACCAGGGCTGACTGGAAGTAAATTGGGGCTTTTTGTTTTCTTTTTCTGAATAGACAGTTGTCTCATGTTTTTGCGAGTCCTTTGGTGCAGTGTCTCCCTGTGCAGACAGCTGAGACACTGCAGGGTGCTCTTCCCAGCTTGCTGTGTGACTCGGGAGTTGTCTATATTACTTATATTTACATTATGTAAACTAATACAATAATAGTATTCACTGTAATCACGTTAACCAGTAGTTTCTCATTTTCTGTTAATTTTCTGTGTTCTTAAATTGTTTACTTCAGTATCAGATAGTTTAAGCTCTCTAATGGAAATTTTTGGGTTTTTGGGGGGGGCGGTCATGCTGGGTGGCTTATGGGATCTTGGTTTTCTGACCAGAAATGGAGCCAGGGCCTTCAGCAGTAGAAGCACAAGGTCCTAACCACTGGACCACCAGGGAATTCCGTCCATAATGGGGATTCTCAGATGTATGCAAAAGTACAGAAACTGTTCACTGCAGCACTGTTTACAATAGCAAGGACATGGAAGTGACCTAACTGTCCATCAACGGAAGAATGGATAAAGAAGATGTGGTCCATAAATGCGATGGAATATTACTTAGCCATAAAGAGAATGAAATAATGCCACATGGAGCAACATGGTTGGGACCTAGAGAGTGTCATTGTGAACTATGAGAAAGACAAATATATGATTGCTTATGTGTAGAACCTAAAAAAAGGATACAAATGAACTTATCTGCAAAACAAATAGATACATAGATGTGGAAAACAAATTTATGGTTACCGGGGGATAAAAGGAAGAGGGAGGGGTCAATTGGGAGATTGGGCTTGAAGTATACACACCACTAAGGACAAAATCGATAACCAACAAGGACCTACAGTATAGCTCGGGGAACTTCACAGTGCTCTGTGACAGCCTGTATGGGAAAAATGGATATATCTATCACACTCACTCTGCTGTACACTTGAAACAGACAACATTGTAAATCAACTGTACTCCAATAAGAAGAAAAGTCAGAAACTCTGAACCTTGTGTACCCATCACTTCAGCAGTTTCCAACTCATGGTCAGTCTTGTTTTAGCTGTATTCCCATTAACTTATCCCTCTCGTAATAATTTTTGTGTGATTGTAAATATTGACTCATTTTTAACTGTGGAAATATATACCATTTTAAAGTGTATGATTCAGTGGCATGAAGTTCATTCATATCATCGGGCAGCTACCTCTACCATCCATTTCCAGAACTTCATCATCATCTCAAATAAACTCTGTATCCTGTAAACAATAACTCCTCCATTCCCATCTGTCCCCTGGTAGCCTCTATTTTCTGTCTCTACGAATTTGCTTATTCTAGATACCTCATCTAAGTAGAATCATAACATATTTGTTTTGGGTCTGGCTTATTTTACTTTGCATAACATTTTTAAGGTTCATCTATATTGTTGCAAATAACTAGTTTCATTTCTTTTTAAGGCTGAGTGATACCCCATTGTATGTATGTACCATATTTTGTTTATCCATTCATCCATCCATGGATGTTTAAGTTGGTTCCACTTTTTGCTATTAATAATCCTGCTATGAACACTACTGTATAAATACCTATTTGTGTCTTTGCTTTTAATTCTTTGGGGTACATACCTAGGAGTGGAATTTTCCTTCTCCCCCCCCCCGTCTTATCTGTGCTTTTCAAACAATTAGATTATCTATAGCACATATTAGTCATTCCCACTCCAAGTTCTCTAAATCCTAGCCATAACTCAAGAGAACATCTAAAAACTACACCGTCCTAGCTTCCTGTAGACTTAAGGAGCATCCAGTCATATTCATCAACATGAGACATCATTTGTAGACAATTTGTATACCTTTCATAAAACTGGCTAAAAGCGTTTGACTAGCATTTATATAAGAATCCACAACTTTTTCCTAAAAATGCCAGAAAAGAAAAATTTTTTTAAAAGTCAGCAAGAGTTGGCTCCTCAAATAAACCCATATTTCCTTTCATCAAGGCTTTGCATCACAGGGTATTTGTTTCCTTGCCTTCCAGGAAACTCACAGGTAAAATGTCACATTTGAAAAATTAACCCATTTCAAAAGGCCTTGCTACATCCATTTCTGCCTTCTGATTGACAACCTCACTTTAAAATGTTAAGTTCTATTTTTAGGAAGTATTTATAAGCACATCTGTTAATTGAGCTATACTGTAAACAATCCAGGTATTGAACAATCACATAGTTTTGAATTCTCCAAAATGATCTAGAGACTATATAAATATATCAAAAATACATAAAAAACCAAAATCCCAATTTTTGTTTGCCATAAAGAAGGCTGAGCACCAAAGAACTGATGCTTTTGAACTGTGGTGTTGGAGAAGACTCTTGACAGTCCCTTGGACAGCAAGGAGATCAAGCCAGACAATCCTAAAGGAAATCAACCCTGACTATTCATTGGAAAGACTGGTGCTGAAACTGAAGTTTCAGTACTTTGACCACCTGATGCACGAGCCGATTTACTGGAGAAGACCCTGATGCTGGAAAAGATCGATGGCAAAGGGAGAAGGGGGTGACAGAGGATGGAATGGCTGGATGGCATCAATGGGCAGGAGTCGGAGCAAACTCGGGGAGGTAGTGAAGTATAGGGAAGCCTGGCAGGCAGCCGTCCATGGGGTTGCAAAGAGTCAGACGTGACAGCAAATGAACAGCAGCAGCAACAAAATGCAGTGAAAAGGAACATGAAAGGAACAGTGCGCTTTTACAGTCCTGAATGTGAACTCTAGGTTTGAAGGCTCAAAGAAAGTTTGAAGAGAAGGAGACATTTAAAGTGGGTTTCAAGTGATAAGAGTTTTGGGATGAGCAGCTCTGGGAAATGAGAATTGAAGGTAAAGAAACTCACTGTCGACAAGAGAGACCCACAGCAGCAGCGGGACCTTCGGTGCTCAGCTTTCTTGATGGTCCAACTCTCACATCCATACAAGACTACTGGAAAAACCATATCTTTAACTATGTGGACATTTGTTGGCAAAATGATGTCTCTGCTTTTAAATATGCTGTCTAGGTTGGTCATAGCTTTTCTTCCAAGCAGCAAGCGTCTTTTAATCATGCCTGCAGTCACTGTCCACAGTGAACTTGGAGACCAAGAAAATAAAATCTGTCAGTGATTCCACTTTCCCCCCATCTATTTGCCATGACATGATGGGACCAGATGCCATAATCTTTGTTTTTTGAATGTTGAATTTTAAGCCAGCTTTTCCACTCTCCTCTTTCACCCTCATCAAGAGACTCGTTAGTTCCTCTTGTCTTTCTGCTATTTGAGTGGTGTCATCTGCACATCTGAGGTTACTGTATTTCTCCCAGCAATCTTGATTCCAGCTTGTGATTCCTCCAGCCCAGCATTTCACATGATGAACTCTACATATAAGTTAAATAAGCAGGGTGGCAATACACAACTTGACATACTCCTTTTCACTTTATTTCTTAATCATAATTATTATTTGGATACACAACAGGAGGCCCGAAGACTGTTTCTGTGGTTTATTTATTTTGAAACACTAGTGGCCAAAACAGCTTACAGCTGTCAAATATTCGCTGCACTAGTGAAAGTCGTGGTAGTCTTGGGTGAGTCTCAGAGTTACAGTGTTCCCAACTGTCCTACAGGAGGGCCCTCTTTTTTCTTTTACCAGACCGAAAATTCTGAGGGTAAGTCTGTTTTTGGACTGTGGTGTTGGAGAAGACTCTTGAGAGACTTGGACTGCAAGGAGATCCAAGGAGTCCATCCTAAAGGAAATCAGTCCTGAATATTCATCGGAAGGACTGATGCTGAAGCTTAAACTCCAAAACTTTGGCCACCTGATGCGAACAACTGACTCATTGGAAAAGACCCTGATGCTGGGAAAGATTGAGGGCGGGAGAAGGGGACGACAGAGGATGAGATGGTTGGATGGCATCACCGACTCAATGGACATAAGTTTGAGTAAGCTCCGGGAGTTGATGATGGACAGAGAAGCCTGGCGGTGCTGCTGACCCTAGGGTCGCAAAGGGTCGGACACGACTGAGCGACTGAACCGAACTGAAGTCTGCGTCAGCTACGCTCTCCACTGTGTATCCAGGTCCAGCATAGAGTCCAGCACATGGCAGATGCTCAGTAAATGTTTGCTAAAAGAATAAATTAATAAGGGAAGAAGTGATCGGACTCCATTCTTTCACCGATGCGTCGGTCCGCAGGGAAATAATAAACCGGTGGGAGCCAGCCCAGTGTCCGCGGGCGCTGGTCACGCCTCCGCGGCGGGGCGGGGGCTCTGTGGAGACCCGCCCACGAGGCGGGCAGTCTCGAGAGCCCCGCCCCACGAGGAGGCGGGGCCTGCAGCGCGCGGGAAGCGGCGGCGGGAGCTGGCGCCCAGCGGCCTGAGCGCGTCCCTGCAGATACTGCTTCTCCCGCGCGGACTCTCGCGTCCCCGCGCTTTCCCGGCCGGGCCTGGGTGAGGGGTGAGGGGCCGGGTGGGGGTGGTGAGGGGCCGGGTGGGGGTGGCGAGCGGCCCTCTGCGAGGGCCAGCCGCGAGGACCCGGGAGATCTTCGGAGAAGCGCGCGTGTGCGCGGCGGGCCTCCGGCCCGGCCCCAGTGTCCCCGGAGGCCTCCTCTCAGCCAGGTCCCAGTCAAGTCCGGTTCCGGCTGCCCCGGCTGCCCCCTCGTCCCCGGCCTCGGTCGGCTTGCCGAGCAGCCCTTCCCCCGCGGCCCCGGCCTTCCCCCACCCCCGGTAGCCGTCTCCCCGCGGCGCCCACCCCCAGACCCCCGGGCTCGCCACCCCCTCAGCCTGGCCCGGCCCGGCCTGGGCCTTGCTTTCCCTTCCCTGGGTGTCCGTCTCTCGTTGCTTTTCCGGACGTACTCGGAGAATAAACTGAAAACAGCCGCGGGCTCCGCGAACCATTTGAGGTGGAACTGCGAGGGTTGCGTCAGAGGGCCGCACTGACATCCTCTCCCAGGGCAGCGTCTTTAATGGTCGGCAGGGCTCCTGGCTGAGGCTTCAGCGTTCAGTGCCTGGTCCCCGGCTCCAAGATTCACCTCATCACCAACCATTTGCAGCTCTCTCTCCTCCGTCTTTGGAGAACAACGCCCGCCCCCCGCCACCTACCACCCGCCCCGCCCCTGAGGAACTGTGTCTCGCTCCTTGAAGACTCTGGAGGATGAAAGTCATCACTTGCGAGATCGCCTGGCACAACAAGGAGCCGGTGTACAGCCTGGACTTCCAGTATGGAGCCGCCGGGAGGATCCACCGGCTGGCCTCCGCGGGGGTGGACACGGCTGTCAGGGTAAGCGGGGCATGGCGAGTGGGAAGGGCCCAGGACGCGACGTTGAAGCGGCATTCTCCACTCTTGTGTTGTTATAACGACTGTTAAACTCAGGGCTTCCCAGGTGGCCGGCTTGGCGGTAAAGAATCTGCCAATGCGGAGACGCAGGTTCGATCCCTGAGTCGGGAAGATCCCCCTGGAGGAGGAAATGGCAGCCCACTGCAGTATTTTTTAACCTGGGAAATCCCATGGACACAGGAGCCTGGTGGGCTATACAGTCCATGGGGTTGCCAAGAGTCGGACAGGACTGAGCATGCGCACTGCAGGCACTCATCACTAATTATTGTACTAATTAAGTTGCCTAGCCCAGGGGCTTCCCAGGTGGCACTAGCGGTAAAGAATCCGCCTGACAAAGGCAGGAGATGCCGGTTGGATCCCTGGGTGGGGAAGATCCCTTGGAAGAGGAAATGGCAAATCCACTCTAGTCTTCTTGCCTGGAGAATCCCATGGACAGAGGAGCCTGGTGGACTACAGTCCATGGGGTCACAAATAGTCGGACACAGCTGAGCCACAAAGTGTATGTATATGTGTATCAAGCTGAGGCAGATAAATTGTCAAGGGCCTTGAGTCAACAATGAAGGCAAAAGAGCAACTTTCTTCCTAGGGTCCTGTTACCTAGACTGATGTCACTGGATGTGGTGATGTTATTATTTCAGAACCCTGAGCCAGTTTCCTCTAGGGGAAGAGTTTGCACAAGAAAGAGGTGGGAGGCAGTGGCACTGGTGGTTTATGTTTCAGATAGGAGTTACTTCCTCTTACATTTCAAAAGAGAAACTAAATTTTCTTTCTGAAAATCAGTGCAGGGTTGTTTTAATAGGTGCAGTATGAAGCCTGCTCACTACATGTTTCTCTGAATGTGTGTTTTTGTATCAGCAGATCTGGAAGGTAGAGAAAGGACCAGATGGAAAGGCCATTGTTGAATTTTTGTCCAATCTTGCTCGCCATACCAAAGCGGTCAATGTCGTGCGTTTTTCTCCAAATGGGGAAATTTTAGCATCGGGAGGGGATGGTGAGTATTTCACTTCAAGTGTTCAGAAATCAGATACACACGTGTCTCAGTCTGAGATTTGAGCTAGATATACTTTCTCATTTCAGAGGTGCCTTGACCCTTTAAATCTGTCATTTAGATAGTTCAGTAAAATGATGTTATGGGGAGTGTGAACAGATGGAAGACAGCAAGCTTAAATTGAGAAGAGCTGTTTGAAAATGACCCCTTTCCCATTCACTCCCTCTGGGCTGGTTGGAGACAGGTAGGTTGGTGCTTACCATTCTAAGTCCCAAGGCAACTGACCTGACCTTGTTAGGCTTGTTGGCTTAGTATCTGTAAGTGATCATAGTCTGTTCCGTGTCTCTGTGTAATTAATGAATTAATTGGCCTGGGGAGTGTTGTTGAAATGGCCCTCTATTTGTTTGGTGGGCACAAATCGATTTGTATTTTCTGCTTGTGTTTAAACAGCATAAAGCTATACAGAAAAAGTAAATCTTTGTATCATGCTCTTAAAACCAGAATAGTCTAGAAGTGAGAATAAAAAGAAAATAGAAATCTCAGATGTTGTTGGCAGAAGGAGGAAAAGAGACCTGGTGGAACTGAGTGCCCTGATGCCCAGTGTGTGGTCGAGGGAGAGATGGGGGGTGGGAGCTGCCCGGGGTGGGGGAGACGCTGGGCAGCTGGCAAGGCAGCACGGGTCCAGAACACATGTGTCCATATAGCCAGCTCCTTCAGTCTCCTCCTGACACATACATGAGAGTGTCTTCCCAGGTCACTAGCGCTAAAGATCCTGCCTGCCAATGCAGGAGACATAAGAGACGCAGGTTCAATCCCTGGGTTAGGAACACCCCCTGAAGTGCATGGCAACCCACTCCAGTATTCTTGCCTGGAGAATCCCATGGACATAGGACAAGTCCATAGGGTCGCAGAGTCAGGCACGACTAAAGCAACTTACCATACACACGCATATATGGGCTGACCATGTGCCGGGCATCATGTGGTATGTGCTTTATACCTCTACCTCATTTAATCCTCACAGTGGCCTATGTGCTCATGTGTGCTCAGTTGCCCAGTTGTGTCCAACTCTTTGTGACCCCCCGGACTGTAGCCTGCCTGGTGAGGGGACCGAGGCGTCTAGACAGTAAATGACTTGCCAACGCCTGTGTTGGTGCCTCTGTTGCTTTTTCTCCCCTGTCAGGTTATGCCTGTGTATTTGTTAATAGAGTCGTTTTGCAGTCATGTTTTGCTGGCCCGGGGACCCTTCTGTTTAAGGTGACCTTGTATAACTCTGATCTGGTATGAGTTTGATTTTGGAGTTTTTGTTCGGAAGGGAAACTTGCTTTTCCTGCCCGAATTCTTAGAGGTAAATCCTCATGGCCATAGTGTCTGTAGATATTGTTTAGTGTCCTAAAAACCCAGAAGTGAAAAGCCGTGCAGGAAAGCGTGACTTGCATTTAATCAACTCACTCTGCAGACGCTGTCATTCTGCTCTGGAAGGTGAATGATAACAAGGAGCCGGAACAGGCTGCCTTTCAGGACGAGGATGAGGCTCAGCTGAACAAGGAGAACTGGACTGTTGTAAAAACCCTGAGGTAACCTTGGGAGGGACCTGCGAAGGTGTTAGCTTTAGGACCTACCTGAATGCATTCAGCTGATAGGCATTTAGACTTTTGTATCTCACTTAAAACTTTTTCTTATGCAAGACAGTAATGCAGGTATAGTTTAAATCAGTGGTTCCCCAGCCTTTTTGGTACCAGGGACGGGTTTCGTGGAAGACAGTTTTTCCACCGACTGGGGGTGGGGGTGATTTTGGGCTGATTCAAGTGCATTACATTTATTGTGCACTTTATTATTATTATTACACTATAATATATAATGAAATAATTATACAGTTGTCACTTGCTGCTCAGTGATAGAGTTTGCATATGCGTCTGCAGACAATTGATTCATCATGGTCTTGCACGGTCATCCTGCCCGCTGATGATAATCTGTGTTCATAGCCGCTCCCCAGTGCTCACATCATGGCCTGAGCTCCACGTCAGATCTTCAGGCATTAAATTCTCACAAAGAGCCTGCCACCTGGGTCCCTCGCAAGCACCGTTCACTGCAGGGTTCTCGGCCCTGTGAGGATCCAGAGCCACTGCTGACCTGAGAGTGGGCGGAGCTCAGGCAATAATGCGATCGCCAGGGAGTGGCTGTAAATACACACGAAGCTTCACTCAGTATGCACACCACCTGCCGTCCAGACCAGTTCCTAACAGCCCATGGACTGGTAGCAGTCACTTAAAAGTTTTAAGTGAGATACAAAAGTCTAAATGCCTAGACTGGTAGCAGTCCATGGCCTGGGGGTTGGGGACCCCTGGCTTAAAAAGATAAAAATATGGATTAAAATGGATTTTTAATTAAAAGCCATTAAAATAGATTTTCCTAGTTTCTCTCAAAATTTTTTTAGTAAACTTGAATCAGTTTTAAAGATACAAATCTCCTTGAAGGTAGTAGTTTATAGCTACAGCTAATATAGCTATAGTAATGTAGCTCTAGTGGGAATTCTACAACCCCATTGCGTGGGCCCTGAGTTTGCCTAAATTTTTGACATTCGTTTTTTTTCTCTCCTCAAGACAAGAATTGCTTTTTCTTTTATTTTTCTTCTTTGGATTCTAGGGGCCACTTAGAAGACGTGTATGATATTTGCTGGGCAACTGACGGGAATTTAATGGCTTCTGCCTCTGTGGACAACACGGCCATCATGTGGGACGTTAGTAAAGGTAGCTGATGTGTTTTTGCTATTGTCGGGGGAAAAGTGCAAGTGTTAGTCGTTCAGTCGTGTCCGATTCTCTGCGACCCTGTGTACTATGGCCTGCCAGGCTCCTCTGCCCATGGAATTTCCCAGGCAAGAGTACTGAAGCGGGTTGCCATTTCCTCCTCCAGGGGATCTTCCCGACCTTGGGTTGGAACCAGGTCTTCTGCGTTGCAGACAGGGTCTTTGCTGTCTGAGCCACCATGAAAGTCCATTATTAGGGGAGCGACATTCCAAGTGTCTGAAAAGATGAACCATGAAATGCTTCAGAAGAGTTTCTTTAGCGGACTGAAACAGAAGTTTAGCTCGACAGCTTAGGGGTTATCCCCGTATGCCAGGGATGTAGTCGGAATGTATGAGGTTTAGCAGTGGTGTTATGAGTCATGAGTTACTGATGCCAAAGCAAGGTAGATGCCGCACGCCTGGGGGTGCAGACATGACGGGGCAGGGGGTGGGGAGGGATAGGGTTGATCCCGGCCTTCACGGACCTGAGGATCTTGAAAGGTTATCAAGTCATCATCATCAGTGGGGCATTGCCTGCTCAATATAGGGGTAGGTGTGATCAGGTTTCCTTTGTGGCTCAGCTGGTAAAGAATCTACCCACAGTGTGGGAGACCTGGATTCGATCCTTGGGTTGGGAAGATCCCCTGGAGAAGGGAAAGGCTACCCACCCCAGTATTCAGGCCTGGAGAATTCATGCACTGTATAGTGTTTGGGGTCACAAAGAGTCGGACACAAAGAGTTGGACTTTCACTTCACTTCACTCCACTTCGTGGTCAAGTTTACATTTCAGGACATCAAATAAAGCAAAGGATACCTCGCTGCTTTGAAAGAACCTCGCTGTTTGGGAGGGGTGTAGGAGGAGGTGGGAGGTAAACATATGAGAAGTTAACTACAGTTTGAAAATAGCAGTGGTGGCCAATGCCTAACCACTTTTCCTCGCCGCAGTCCTGCAGTCAAGCTTGGTGTTTTCTTCCAAACCTCTTCCTCTCCTCTCCTTTATCTGATCATTCTCCACCAGCCCAAATACCCAGGTCAGGGGTCAGGCTGTGGTGTTGGCATCCCCCGCAGTCTCAGTGCTGCATCCACTCGGTTTCCGTCCATGCTGTAAAAGCCTCTCTTCTGTTAATAGTTCCGTGCCGTCCACTGAAGCAGCCTCTCCTGCCTCCTCTGTGTCACACTCTTTCTAATCAGTCCCTGACATTTCGGCCGAGGGGAGGACCGGCATGACCAGCATCCTCACCTTCTTTCCCCAAAACTTGATGTTTCGGTGTCTGTGGACACTCCATCCAGCACCTCTGAAGCCAGTTATAATGACCTTGAACACTGCCAGCACGCTGGGCACTCTTGCAGGTGCTGGAAAATACCCGAATATGATGGCCGTGTTCTAGCAGGATGTGAGTAAGTACGCAAACATCCACCCGATGTTAGGAAGTGATAGTGCCCCGAGGGGGTCAGAGAGTGGTCAGGTGATCAAGAAGTCTTCTCTGAACACGTGGAGTTTTAACAGAGACTGGAATGAAGTTGGGGAGCGAGCTGTGTGCATTGTTTCAGGGAACAGTGTTCCCGCCTGTGGGAACAGCAGGTGCGGAGGCCCTGTGGCCGGAACGGCTTGTTGTGTCCAGGCAATAGGAAATCGAGGGTGTGCAGGAGCAGGAGGGGGAAGGAGGACCCAAGGCTGGAGGGTGGTGGTGGGCCCGGGCACCCGGGTCGGGTCTTAGGTTGTATCCTAGGTGTAATCGTGAGCTGCAGAAGGGCTTTGAGTAGTAGAGCAACCTGATTTTACTTATTAGCAGGTGACATGCTGATCCTGGGACAACAGAGAAGGGGGCAGGGGCAGGGGGAGGAGCAGTTTTTTTTTTTTTCTTTCTTTTTTTTTTTTTCATTTATTTTTATTAGTTGGAGGCTAATTACTTTACATCATTGCAGTGGGTTTTGTTATACATTAAAATGAATTAGCCATGGATTTACATGTATTCCCCATCCCGGTCCCCCCTCCCACCTCCCTCTCCACCCGATCCCTCTGGGTCTTCCCAGTGCACCAGGCCCGAGCACTTGTCTCATGCACCCAACCTGGGCTGGTGATCTGTTTCACCCTAGATAATATACGTGTTTCGATGCTGTTCTCTTGAAACATCCCACCCTCGCCTTCTCCCAGAGTCCACAAGTCTGTTCTATACATCGGAGTCTCTTTTTCTGTTTTGCATATAGGGTTATCATTACCATCTTTCTAAATTCCATATATATGTGTTAGTATACTGTAATGGTCTTTATCTTTCTGGCTTACTTCGCTCTGTATAATGGGCTCCAGTTTCATCCATCTCATTAGAACTGATTCAAATGAATTCTTTTTAATGGCTGAGTAATATTCCATGGTGTATATGTACCACAGCTTCCTCATCCATTCGTCTGCTGATGGGCATCTAGGTTGCTTCCATGTGGAGGAGCAGTTTTTAAGGAGTATGGAAATTGAGACTTTATTGTAAGCCTTTGTTTAAATGTGTAACATGGGCAAGGTTATTCAAAGTCAGTAAGTTTTTGTATTTGTGAATTTGCATATGCTGTGATTCCCTCTACTACCCATCACCTTCAGTTCAGTTCAGTCGCTCAGTCCTGTCCTACTCTTTGTGACCCCACGGACTGCAGCAGGCTGGACCTCCCTGTCCATCACCAACTCCCAGTTTACTCAAACTCATGTCCATTGAGCCGGTGAGGCCATCCAGCCATCTCATCCTCTGTTGTCCCCTTCTTCTCCCGCCTTCAGTCCTTCCCAGCATCAGGGTTTTTTCAGATAAGTCAGTTGTTCGCATCAGGTGGCCAAAGTATTGGAGTTTCAGCTTCAGCATCAGTCCTTCCAATGAATATTCAGGACTGATCTCCTTTAGGATGGACTGGTTGGATCTCCTTGCAGTCCAAGGACTCTCAAGAGTCTTCTCCAACACCACAGTTCAAAGGCATCAATTCTTCAGCGCTTAGCTTTCTTTATAGTCCAACTCACATCCATACATGACCACTGGAAAAACCATAGCTTTGACTGGGCGGACCTTTGTTGGCAAAGTAATGTCTCTGCTTTTTAATATGCTGTATAGGTTTGTCATAACTTTTCTTCCAAGGAGCAAGTTTCTTTCAATTTCATGACTGTAGTCACCATCTGCAGTGATTTTAACTCCAGAGTTGAAGTCATCATCCTCAAGATGGCCCTCGAAGAAGAATGCTCACTTGGTCTGCACTTGTCCTTTCTGCTGTCTGCTGTCCCAGAGCTGGGCATCTGTCTCTGAAGGCCTGTCCTTCGACAGATCTGACAGGGACCCAAAGGGTCCCTGTCAGGCCAGATGGCCTGCCCCCTCGTCAACACATCTCCGGCTGGTCCCTCAGCACTTCTGCTTCTTGCTCATCTCCTTCCGGAGCCCCGCAGTCCACTGAGCCCTCTGTTTCCTGGTCTGTCGGCCCCTCCGGCCTCTCATATTCTCCCTGTCCAGCTTGCTCCCCAAGGGGTTTGTGTATGAACACAGACCATCTTCATCCACCTGCTCTACCAAGACAAACCCCAGCTCAGGATCAGCTGTGGTCCGGGTCCCAGACTGAGCACAGCTGGTCACCGACCCCCACACTGCACCCCAGGCCCCTGCAGATGTGTCCCCAGCAGCCTTTGGGGGCGGGTGGGTGGTCCCAAGATCCCTGCCCCTTTTGCTTGTGAGGTCTAATCCCACCCCCGTTTCCCTAGTAGCCTCCCCCCCAAACCTCCGAAGATCTCCCGAAGCCGCTTCTTCACCCCCAGCCACCTTAATCTCAGCAGACTCCCAGAGAAGAGCCTCATGAAGGGGAAGGGGACGGACAGTTAGTCTGACATCTGTGGTGTGTACATTAAGGTCCTTGGCGACCTCAGGGCCTGCGATTTTAGGGGGCAGTGGCGGGCGTGGGGAGCGGGTGCCCCTGGCAGAGGGTCACGTGAGTGAGAGGTGAGGAGGTCGCCAGAGTGAGTGACCAGGTGTAGGGTGCTCCCCCCAGAAGAGTTTTGTTTCTCAAAGTCTGGCCAAGGCTTCCTAACTCCCTCCTCGCTTCTTCCAGGTCATCTTTGTGTGCGACTGGTTTTATCCTCCACGTCTCTCCCCCAGAGCCCCTTCCCATCCTGGCCCGCCTCGCTCTGGGGCAGGCTCTTGTCTCTCGCCCGGTCTCCTCTCCCCTCCCAACTAGTGACACTTGCTGTGTGTGCTCTCTTCAACCCTCAGCTTCATCCTGAACATGCAGGTCACTTCCCAGCTCAGCATTGCTCTGAGCCACACTGTGAGCCCCCAGAACCCTTCTCGCGTGCACGGGGGTGTTGCACCACCAGCGGTCTCAGCTGCCTGTCATTTCCCCGAACGCCAAGCTGGCTTTCACCCCGTGGGTTTGCTCAGAATGCTGCCTTCTCTCCCCGCTGGCCCCCTACGTCCTGCCTGACCTGGAGACCTGAACTCCGAGCTCGCGCCTTCTCCACCCTCACCCCCTGCTGTGTTGGCTGCCCCTCGTCCTTCCCGTGGTGTCCATGTGTGTGCCCGGGGGTGGTCTGTTCCCACCCCCGCCCCTGCCATTCGTATTCTGTCTGTCCGCTTGCTCCCCAGGGGGATTGTGTGTGCATAGCTGCCACTGGGAGCTCTGAGCTCCCTGGAGGGGGGACCACATTAAGTTATCTTTGACCCCAGAGCCTGACGTGGGGTTTGGTACAGAGGCTCAATCACCTGCTGCTGAATGATGGAACAGCAAAGGAATAATACTGAAACTGTAGTTTATACCATTTGTGCATTAGCAGGTTTTAGTAATGTGTTGTATGCTTTATCCATAGGCCAGAAGATCTCCATTTTTAATGAACATAAAAGTTACGTACAAGGAGTAACCTGGGATCCCTTGGGTCAATATGTTGCTACCCTGAGCTGTGACAGGTAAGTTAGTATTTGATGAGTTGTCCTCATCTCTGTTAGCTTGAAATTTTCTTCAGAGGCATTTTTATTACAACTTAACAAATATAAACCACAGTCTAGCTTTGATTCTTTTGTTCCTGATTTCGTAGAAAGTGTTTTATTTTACTGTTATCCATAAAACAGAGTAAGAAATTGGAAACTGATTAGGACAAGAACCTTACACAAAGTTAGTACTTAATGAATCTTTATTGAGTGGGTGAATGAATGCAAAAATAGCTGAGTTAAATCTGAACTTCTTTAGCAACTTTTAAAGAGAAAGTCTTTTATAAATATGACTCAGGAAAGAAGAGATACCTAGTAGTAAGTTTGGATATTTATTTCATTTTTTTGATTAGTGTTTCCTGCTACAGTGATTTTAATAACTCCGTTTAAATTAATTTGAAAAGAAGATATTTTGTCTTGTTTTCCTCCTTGTTTCAAGGAGGTCTTGTTGCTGTATTTACTGGTGTAATTAAACACAATAATTTAATTGTGTTCTTGGAACAAAGAATTAGAAAAAAAGCCAGGAGGATTTCATCGGTGGTCCGGTAGTTAAGACTCAGTGTTCCCACTGCAGGGGACCTGGGTTCAATTCCTGGTCAGGGAACTAGACCCTTCATGCTGCAACAAAGACCTGGCCTAGCCAAATTACAAAAAAACAAAAACAAAACAACAGAGTTACCAATCATATTGCTCACCAGTCCTAATCCTTTTTCATGTCTCTTCGGCTTTGCTTCTCAGATTTATAAAGGTCCTGCTCTAGCCATTTGCCAATTTGTTTTAGATTGCAAGTTATCACCAGAAAAAAAATACATGATGACAGTTTTAGTATAGAGCATATAGAGCCCAATTTTGCTAACGTCTTCTGTTAGGTTTATTGCTGCCATAATTGAGAAGTGCCTCCCCTGGTGACTCCAGTGGTTAAGAATCTGCCTGCAGTACAGGAAATCTGGGTTCAATCTCGGTGGGGACGACCCCCTGGGTAGGAGATGGCAACCCACCCCAGTGTTCTTGCCGGAAGAATCCCATGGACAGAGGAGCCTGGTGGGCTACAGTCCATGGGGTCTCAGAGTCAGACACAACTGAGTGACTCAGCACATACAGCTACTTTTAAGTATAACAAACTGGATTTCAGATAACCCTGGAATGAAAACACTAAGGAAGAATTAGTGTTTATCTTTTGTAGAATCTCCTGTAACATTCCAGATGTCATTTATTTTTCTGATATATGTGAATTCTTTGGCTTTGCCCCAGTGACATGTGGGATCTTAGTTCCCCAACCGGGCATTGAACCCATGCCCTCTGCAGTGGAAGGGCCAAGTTCTAACCACTTGACTGCCATAGTAATCCCCTGGTGTACGTGTTTTATTCAGCACTCAGGAGTGAAACAGTCTGATCAGCTTGGGGAATAATATGAATTACCAAAAACCAGTTTACCTTCTGGTGTTTTCCTTACTCTTGTCAATCCCTGAGGCCAAGACCATTCCTCACAAAATCAACTTCACGACAGTCATGCAGATGGCCACGGGGCCACACGTCCAAGACCTGAAGTTCATCTCCCTTGACAAGTTGAAACATTCTGTAGAAAAATGAAGTTATGGTGTATTCCCCCTTCATTAGCGGTAGCCTTTGAGTTGTTAGTCTTTGCCCGTGTCACTCAGTTAAGTGTGGAGGTCTTCGGTCAGCGGTTTGCAGGCTGCCAGCTGCTGAAGCAGCCTCTAGCTGGTACGCGGCTGTTCCTGTGTGGAGCGCGGTTCACTCACTGGAAGAGGTGGGTCAGACTTGTCTTCTCTGTCCAGGGTCCTGAGAGTGTATGGCACACAGAAGAAGCGCGTGGCCTTTAATGTCTCCAAGATGCTGTCTGGAGTGGGGGCCGAAGGAGAGGTACAGGGCTGACATCCCATCCCACCTGTGCTTAAGTTGGGACCCAGGAAGTCGTGAGCACCTCTGTGCCCTGTGGCTAAGCCCCTGGCAGCCAGGCCCTGACACCGGAACTGCGGTGACTTCCTCGCAGACTGCCGCGTCTCAGCGTGGGGGCTGGGCTGATCTGAGTGGGGGCGGGGACCTCTGGGGGCCAGGGGAGGAGTAGGCGATGGAGCTCAGTGGTTTCCAGTCCTGAGGGCGCTGTGGAGTCACCTGGACAGCACCCCAGGGATGCGTTTCATGTGGCTGGAGGCAGCCAGGGCCCCGGGGCCTGAGGTGCAGTGAGGGTCAGGAACCGCTGACCAGGAGCATCCCAGCCCTACGCAACAGGAAGGAGGGGGATCCGGCACCTTCCAGGCAGGTAGAGGGGCAACGAGGGCCACTGGGCTGGTACCCAGGAATGGGAAAGGTTCTGATCTTTGGGAAGAAGCGGCAAATAAAGGTAGCATCCTAGTCCTGAGATGTCAGATGACTGAGTACTAAGGCAGGCAAGGAGCTGAAAGGGAGCAAGTTGGTTACTGGAGCAAAGGAGGGCTGACTGCAAAGCAGTCCTGGGGCAGCGGGCTGGGCTGGGTCTGGAAGATTAAATGCTTAGTGTTTCTAAAATATCAGGCGCATGGCAGCAAAAACTATTCCATGTAGGGATTCAAGCAGCATTGTCTGGGAAGATGATGGGGTTACTATTTTCTGTTTAAAAAGGGTTCATTCAGTGGGAGATTCTAAATATATACACACAGATAACAAACAAAAGGGCTCCTCGTCACCTTCCTGCCTTTTCCCAGTCTCATTTCCCAGGCAAAGCTCTGCTCACAGCATGGGTGTGTTCTTACAGAGGTCTATTCATTTAATAATTGTTGAACCACACAAACATGTAGACCCACTCCAGTATTCTTGCTTGGGGAATCCCAGGGACAGAAGAATCCGGCGGGTCACAAAAAGTCAGACACAACTGAGTGACTTAACACTTTCACTTTCAAACACGTAGACACACACACACACACTTAAAGCTTTCCTTACCCAAAATGGGAAATCTGTTTAAGAGTGATGGCCTTTGCAGTTCTGTGTGATTATTTGATTTGTAATGTGTTTCAATTTTATACCTATTATTATGTCAGTAATAAATGAATGACAATATGTAGTAAAAAGAGATAGGAATTGGTAAGCCTTTAGTGTGAATGCGAAGATTCGGGGTAACATGTAAATTTCGTGTGCTGTAGGCGAGAAGTTACCGGATGTTCCATGATGACAGCATGAAGTCGTTCTTCCGTAGACTGAGTTTCACTCCTGATGGATCTTTGCTCCTCACACCAGGTGTGTTTCACGAAGCTTTGGATTTGAGGGCAGGAGGGCAGCAGTGCTGGTGTCAGTGCTCCTGATCTGTGATGCTCTTTGCAGCTCAGGGAATTCTGATGAAAGCAGTGGTCCCAACTTGTCCACACACTGAATTCTGTTAAGTTGCTTCAGTCATGTCTGACTCTTTGCGACCCATGGACTGTAGCCCGCCAGACCCCTCTGTCCACAGGATTCTTCAGGCAAGAATACTGGAGTAGGTTGCCATGCCCTCCTCCAAGGGATCTTCCCGACCCAGGGATTGGACCCCCGCCTCTTATATCTCCTCCATTGGCAGATGGGTTCTTTACCACTAGCGCCACCTGGAAAGCCATTCCAAAATCTCCAGGGAGCTTCTGAAAATCCTGGTACTTGGGTCCTACACCCCTCGAGATTGTATTTTAACTGGTTTGGAGTGTGTGGTCTGGGTTTTGGAATTTAAAAAGATCCCCAGTGGTTTTAACGCACAGACAAGTTTGGGAGGCACTAGGCTAGAGTGATAAATGTATTCTCTTAGGTAAATTCAGCTTAAAAGTTTTCTTAACAAATTTCTTTTCTCTAGACATGTACATGGAGGTCACAGTTTTAAAACTCACGAGAAAGCGCCCTTATCATGTTTACTCTAAGTGATGAAGCAGCCTGTTGTGACAGGGTCTAAACGCAGACAAGTCGGGTTGGAATAACCTATGGGAGTGTAGTGGTCAGTCTGACAGGTCAGCAGAATCAGCGAGGACACGTCAGGCTTGTTGTCTGCAGGAGGGCGAGAGGGTGAGCCTAGCAGAATCAGCCAGGGCGGTGCTATGGCCAGCATGGTCTCAGAGGAGACCGACCCCTGCTCTCCACTGCTCGGGTACCATCCTGTGTGTGATTCAGTGACGTGAACCAGGGCTCAGCCAAACAGGAAGGCGCGGGTCAGGTTTGCCACTGCGTGTTCCAGCCAGGCTGGTTGGGGGCCCCCAGGAGTGTGTGAATCACACAGACATGTGTGTGGATTAGACTGTAAAAGGACAACAGAGAGCATGTGGGAATGACATTGGCTTGGGGGTGGTCCCAGGACCAAGAGTAAATAGTTGCTTGAGTATATTAAAAGTTACTTACTAAACTCAGTATCAAATCCTTTTTCTAAATGGCAGCTCTAAAAACATTTTCAGTTCAAATTGGACACCAGATAGGTATCTGCTGTCACTGTTAATGATTCTCAGTGATGTTAATAAATGCAGGAAATGCAACGACAGATTGGAAAAGGAGAGAGAAAACGTTGTGATAGGATTATGTTTCTAGAAAATCCAAGAGATTTAAAAAAGTACTATCGGAATCAAAAAAGAATTTGATAAGGTGGCTAGATATTGTAAAAATACATAAAATACGAATCTGCTACACTAGAATAAGTACTTAGAAATGTGAAAAGGACAGTTGTTCCATTCATAATAGTGCAAAGTCCAGAAGACATGGGAATACATAGGAAAAAATTTAATGAGGCACAGAGCCTTGATGAAGAAGACTAGAAGGTCTTATTGATTGATGGTTATAAAACAAGTTCTGAACAAATAGATATTTCATGTTCTAAAAATTAACATACTCATTGTTTTCCAATTAGGATCCCATTTCAGGTTTTTTTGGTTGTTTCTTTTGGTTTTCTGTTTTTTTAACTGGATGACATTTCAGATTTGTTTAGCTGAGTAAATGCAAAGAATAATGCAGTCAGCTTCTGAGGTGGCTCAGTGGTTAAGAATCCACCTGCAATGCAGGAGATGCAGGTTCAATCCCTGGGTCCGGAAGATCCCCTGAAGAAGAAAATGGCAACCCACTCTAGTATTCTTGCCTGGAAAATTCCGTACACAGAGGAGCCTGGCAGACTGCAGCCCACAGGGTCACAAAGAGTCAGACATGACTGAGCGACTGAGCATGTAGCACATATGAAAGGAGAGTAACACTTGAGCAGGCATCTCCTTGTCTGAATGTCAGAGATTCTGTAGTGGAAAAAAGATGTGCTTTTCATCATAGGGGACTAGAATGCAAAAGTAGGAAGTCAAGAGTCACCTGGAGACAGGCAAGTTTGATCTTGGGATACAAAATGAATCAGGGCAAAGGCTAACAGAATTTTGCCAAGAGCATGCACTGGTCACAGCAAACACTCTCTTCCCAGTAACACAAGACTCGACTCTAAACATGGGCATCACCAGATGGTCAATACTGAAATCAGATTGATTATATTCTTTGCAGCTGAACATGGAGAAGCTCTATACAGTCAGCAAAAACAAGACTGGAAGCTGACTGTCTCTCAGTTCATGAACTCCTTATTGCCAAAGTCAGACTTAAAATGAAAAAAGTAGGGAAAACCACTGGGCCATTCGGGTATGACCTAAATCCCATCCCTTCCGATTATACAGTGGAAGTGAGAAATAGCTTCAGGGGATTAGATATGATAGAGTGCCTGAAGAACTATGGATGGAGGTTTGTAACATTGTACAGGAGGCAGTGATCAAAACCATCTCCAGGAAAAAGGAATGCAAAAAGGCAAAATGGCTGTCTGAGGAGGACTTACAAATAGCTGAGAAAAGAAGAGAAGCGAAAGGCAAAGGAGAAAATGAAAGCTATATCCATTTGAATGCTGAAAGATATACCCATCTGAAGAGTTCCAAAGAATAGCAAGGAGATATAAGAAAGCCTTCCTCAGTGAACAGTGCAAAGAAATAGAGGAAAACAACAGAATGGGAAAAACTAGAGATCTTTTCACAGAGAAGGCAATAGCAACCCACTCCTATACTCTTGCCTGGAAAATCCCATGGGTGGAGGAGCCTGGTAGGCTGCAGTCCCTGGGGTCATGAAGAGTCTGACACGACTGAGCAACTTCACTTTCACTTTTCACTTTGATGTATTAGAGAAGGAAATGGTGACCCACTCCAATGTTCTTGCCTGGAGATTCCCAGGGACGGCAGAGCCTGGTGGGCTGCCGTCTATGGGGTCCCACAGAGTCGGACACGACTGAAGTGATGCAGCAGCAGCAGCAGAGATCTTTTCAAGAAAATTAGAGGTACCAAGGAAACATTTCACACAAAGAAGGGTACAGTAGACAGAAACGGTATGAGCGTAACAGAAGCAGAAGACATTATGAAGAGGTGGCAAGAATCCACAGAAGAACTATACAAAAAAGATCTTCATGACCCAGATAACCACAATGGTGTGATCACTTACTTAGAGCCAGACATCCTGGAGTGTGAAGTTAAGTGGGCCTTAGGAAGCATCGCTATGAACAAAGCTAGTGGAGGTGATGGATTTCCAGCTGCACTAGTTCAAATCCTAAAAGATGATACTGTGAATGTGCTGCACTCAATATGCTAGCAAATTTGGAAAACTCAATGGTGCCCACAGGACTGGAAAAGTCAGTTTTCATTCCAATCCCAAAGAAGGACAATGCCAAAGAATGTTCAAACTACCATACAATTCCACTCATTTCACTTGCTAGCAATCTAATGCTCAAAATTATCCAAGCTAGGCTTCAACAGTTTGTGAAACAAGAAATGCCAGATGTTCAACATGGATTTAGAAAAGGCAGAGGAACCAGAGATCAAATTGCCAACATCCATTGGATCATAGAAAAAGCAAAAGGATTCCAGAAAAACATCTACTTCTGCTTCACTGACTACACCAAAGTCTTTGACTGTGTGGATCACAACAAACTGGAATATTCTTAAAGAGATGGGAATACCAGACCACCTTACCTGCCTCCTACGAAACCTGTTATGCAGGTCAAGAAGCAACAGTTAGAACCAGACATAGAACAATGTACTGGTTCCAAATTGGGAAAGGAGAACATCAAGGCTGTATATTGTCACCCTGCTTATTTAACTTCTATGCAGAGTACATCATGTGAAATGCCAGGCTGGATGAAGTTCAAGCTGGAATCAAGATTGCCAGGAGAAATATCAATAACCTCAGATACATAGATCACACCACCCTTATGGCAGAACGTGAAGAGAAACGAAAGAGCCTCTTGATGAAGGTGAAAGAGAAGAGTGAGAAAGCTGGCTTAAAACTCAACCTTCAAAAAACGAAGATCATGGCATCTGGTCCCATCACTTCATGGCAAATAGTTGGGGAAACAGTGGAAACAGTGACAGACTTTATTTTTCTGGGCTCCAAAATCACTGTGAACGATCACTGCAGCCAGGAAATTAAAAGACGCTTGCTCCTTGGAAGAAAAGCTATGACCAACCTAGATAGCACACTAAAAAGCAGACATTACTTTGCCGGCAAAGGTCTGTCTAGTCGAAGCTATGGTTTTTTCCAGTAGTCACGTATGGATGTGAGAGTTGGACCATAAAGAAAGCTGAGTGCCAAAGAACTGATGCTTTTGAACTGTGTTGTTGGAGAAGACTCTTGAGAGTCCCTTGGACTGCAAGGAGATCAAACCAGTCCATCCTAAAGGAAATCAATCCTGAATATTTATTGGAAGGACTGATGCTGAAGCTGAAGTTCCAATACTTTGGCCACCTGATGCGAAGAGCTGACTCGTTGGAAAAGACCCTGATCTTGGGAAAGGTTGAAGGCAGGAGGAGAAGGGGATGATAGAGAACAAGATGGTTGGGTGGCATCACTGACTCAATGGACATGAGTTTGAGTATACCCAGGGAGATACTGAAGAACAGGGAATCCTGGTGTGCTGCTGTCCACGGAGTCACAAAGAGTTGGACAGAACTGAGTGCCTGAACAACAATAACTGTTATCAAATCAGTATGGAATTGGTGTGGGTGCTCAGTCACTTCAGTCATGTCCGGCTCTTTGCCACCCTGTGGACTGTAGCCCACCAGGCTCCTCTGTACCCGTATTGTTATAGGAATAAGCATATAGATTAGTGGACCAGAGCAGAATCCAGAAATAGATCCTGGGATAAAAGGAAATTTAGTAGGTAACCTGAGGGTATTTCAGTGGGAAGAATGGGTTAGTGAGTGAATACTGGAATGTCCAGATGTATGGAAGAAAGCAAAATTGGACTCCTAGCTTTTATATAAAAATAAATCTCAGGTGAACTCCATACTTAAACAAAAAAGGTGAAAATATAAAACTCTTACAAGAAAATCTAGAAGGCCTTTCTAGGACTGGGGAAGATCAAGCAAAAGAATGGAGACCCAGAAGCTCTTAAATGACCTACTTGGCTATAGAATGTAGAGCTTGCCTACAGGTAAGAGATGCAGTAGGCAATATCAGTAGTCATATGATGGAGCTGGAAAATAATGTTCATGAAACAGGAAAGAAAGTGCTAGATGATATCGTATGCGAGTGCTCTTCCAATTGGCAAGAACAACAAAAAAACAGGGGAAAAATCTGGAAGAGAGAAATGAGAGCCAGATAGAAAAGGCAGTGTGCAGAAAAGCAGATCTGCATGTGGTATCAGCACACACAGGAGAGTGTTCGGGAACCCAGCAACAGTCAAGGCAGTCCTGGCTACCTTGATATAAGTTAGGTATGGCTCTAGTCATTTCACACTGAAAAACAGTGAAAATACCTATGGCTGACGGGTGTGGGTGTGGCTATTGCTGGAGGGAGTGTGGATTATCAGAGCGTTTTTGGAAAGCAGTCTGGTAACTGCTTTTCAGTGCATCTGCTTTGCTAAGTCATCTGAGATTCACTTTGTTAAGAAATGAAAACAGTACATAGGATATTTGTCCAAGCGTGTTTATTGCAAACATGGTTTGTAGTTGTAAAAAAAAAAAAAAAAACACCAAAAAGCAATACTCACTTAGAGAGGATGAATTATGGTATTTTCATACCAGTGCACAGTAGGCAGCTACTAAGAAAAGGATCCATTGGTGCCATGCAGGTAATGAGCACAAGTGTGCATAATATCCCATTTTATAAAATAGATTTTAAAAAACCACTGTATAATATACCTGCAGTTGAGTTATAACTGGTTGTGATGATTATGTGAGCATGGAGGAAATTAGCAATGACCTGATGGTTTGTTAAGATGGATTATTTGGGGATGGAAGGATGGGTGAGGGGGAGAGGGTAGGGAGACACTGGCTCTGTCTGCTGCCCTCCCCAGGGGGTATGGAATGGTCTTGTGGAAGACTGTGTGGCTGTGTGGAAATGTCAGTGTAAAACAGGGAGATGTTCCCAAGAGTAGCTGTGTGTGACGGGCGTTCTCCAACAGGATCTGACCTGGTTTTGAGTATGGCCTGCGGTAAGCTTTCAGATGTGGACTGCTCCCCAGGGCAGAGGCAGCTTCTGCAGGGGCTGGAGATGTCAGCGGAGGGCTGGCCCCCTGGCAGCCTCGGGGCGCCGTCAGGCAAAGAGAAGAAGCCCAAGTCTCAGGCTTCGGGTGGCAGCTGGGGTCAGAATCAGGGAGGACAGCAAGCCGAGGGTCTGATCGTAGCGCTTCACCACAGGGATTGGCTGGATTCCCAGGCAGAGGTCTGCTGAGGCCGGGGTCCCTGCTTTCTGTTCTTCCTTCCCAGGCCCAGTAGGGGCTCCCAGGGAGCCCCCTTGCAAGGTGACACTCAGGGGGTGACAGGTGGCTAGAACCGCAGTAAGGGCTGAGCCCAGACAGGGATGAGATGTTTGCACTTGTCCTCAACCATCAAACACTGGCCAGGAAATAACCTTTCCGGGGAATCTAACATAAACCAGAACTGATGCTTGTGCGTCTCTGCTGGTGAACAGTCTGTTAATAACACAGGCCTCACCTTCCTCTCCTGCTTCTCCAGCTGGGTGCGTGGAATCCGGTGAAAATGTAATGAACACGACTTACGTTTTCTCCAGGAAAAACCTTAAAAGGTAGGTGATTAAAGAAATATATGAGACGTGCACCCATTCTTTTTTTTTTGCTTTTGTTACGTGACGGTGCCTTTTTGCAAAACTGCAATTCATCTTCCAGGCCCATCGCCCACCTTCCGTGCCCTGCGAAGGCGACGCTCGCTGTCCGCTGCTGCCCTGTCTACTTCGAGCTGAGGCCGGCGGCGGAAGCAGGTGTGTTAAGTGACCGGGGCGGGGAGGGAAGAGGTGAGTGCGGGGTTGGTTCTATTTGACCCCTCTCAGGAGCAAAGACTGACATTACCAAAATACGTGTCAGACTATGCATTGTCTAGAATACACTCTTCTTTTTTGCTACAAGCAACTTTAAAGGAATGAAAGTAGTAGCTTTCATTGTTTCTCTGCTGCTTGGTTGACAATCATTCATCATCAACTTCCTGTGCAGTAAAGATGATACATGAACTGGATTTCTGTGTAACTGCTTTCCCTCCATTGGCTGCTTTGAAGATTTCTCTGTCTGTCAGCGGCTTTAATAGTCCTGCCGCTTTGTGCCTGCCACAGTTTTCTTTGTGTTTCTTATGTTTGGGGTTCATTGGCTGGCTTAGATCTACACATTTATAGTTCCCATCAAATTAGGGGAGCTTTTTAAAAAAATATATTTATTTATTTGGTTCTACCCAATCAGTGGCTTCCCTGGTGACTCAGATGGTAAAGCATCTGCCTGAAATGCGAGAGACCCGGGTTTTATCCCTGGGTCGGGAAGATCCCCTGGAGAAGGAAATGGCAACCCACTCCAGTGTTCTTGCCTGGAAAATTCCATGGATGGAGGAGCCTGGTAGGCTACAGTCCATGGGGTCGCAAAGAGTCAGACACGAATGAGTGACTTCACCTAATCTTAGTTGTGGGTGCTGGATCTTTAGTTGAGGCACCAGGGAACTATTTCCCTGACCAGGGATTGAACCCCAGGCCCCCCTGCATTGGGAGCACAGAATCTTAGCCACTAGAACTCCAGCAAAGTCCCAGATGTGGGGAACTTCTCCAGTTACTTCTTCAGATCCTTTCTTCTGTCATCCTCTCTCTCTCTCCTCTTCTTCAGGGACTCCAGCTACGCGTGTATCAGGCTGCTTGAAGTTACCCACGGCTTACTGGTGCTCCGTTGACTTGACTTGCCCCAGCTCGGCCCCCCGCCCACCACTGTTTTATCTTGGATAGTTTCTACAGCTGTATTTTGAGTTCACATACCTTTTCTTCTCTGTCACCTGCCCTTGGTGCCATCCCGTGTATTTTCTACCTGCAACAGTGTGGTTTTCATCTCCAGAGTTCAAGCTGGTTCTTCCTTATGTGTATCTGCTTTCCTCTTGCTTCTTGAACACGTAGACTACAGTTTCTTAAAACAACTCTTTTAATGGCTTTGTGTACAAAGGGTTGGTTTCAATTAACCTTTTTCTCCTCATTATGGGTATTGTTCTGCTTCTTGGCATGCCTGATAATTTTTTATTAGACATTGTGGGGATTTTACCTTAGTGACTGCAGATATATTTTCTTTTTTTTTTTTTTTCTTTTTAAATTTTGGCTGTGCTCCCTGGCTCCAGCATTTGTTGTCTGTAGACTTTTAATGATGGCCACTCTGACCAGTGTGAGGTGGTACCTCACTGTAGTTCAGATTTGCATTTCTCTAGTAATTAGCAATGTTGAGCATCTTTTCATATGGGCCATCTGTATGTCTTCTTTGGAGAAATGTCTGTTTAGGTCTCCTGGCCATTTTTGGATAGGGTTTTGGTTGTTGTTGAGTTGCATGAACTGTTTGTGTATTTTGGAAATTAAGCCCTTGTCCGTAGCATCAGTTGCAGATACTTCCTTCCATCCAGTGGATTGTCTGTCTGTTTGATTGCTGGCCTCCTTAGGGATGGCTCTTTCTTTCCCATAGTTTTCTCACATGCATGCACTGCCAGCGTCAGCTGAAGACTCGGGAGGCCCCTGCAGCTCTCTCTCTGCCCCGCCACCACACGCTCCGCCAAGCCTCTTGGCTCCCAGCTCGGGGTTTCTGGTGGCCGCCGCCTGAGTTCCCTCCACCTTTGTGGGGCCTGGAAACTCCAGGCAGAAAGCAGGGGCAGTGAAAGGGCTTGGGTCTCCTGCTTCCTGTCTCTGCGAGATTGCTGTCCTTCATGGGCTCATGGACAGTGTCCCCCAAACTCTGGTTTCAGTATTCTATCAGGTATTTTAATTTTTTCAGGGTCAGTTGTCAGTTGGTCCCTGTTACTCCAAGGCTAGATGCAGAAACTGTTTTCAACTTTCTAAACCTTTATGTGAATGACTTTCCTGCTAACTCAGCTGGTAAAGAATCCGCCTGCAATGCAGGAGGTCTCAGTTCAATTCCTGGGTCGGAGAGATCCTCTGGAAAAGGGATAGGCCACCCACCCCAGTATTCCTGGGCTTCCCTGGTGGCTCAGCTGGTAAAGAATCTGCCCGCAATGCGGGAAACCTGAGTTCAATCCCTGGGTTGGGAAGATCCCCTGGAGGAGGAGATGGGAACCCCCTCCAGTGTTCTTGCCTGGAGAGTCCCCACAGGCAGAGGGGCCTGGTGGGTACAGCCCATGGGGTCACAAAGGGTCGGCCAAGACTGAGCGACTTAGCACGCACACAGCATGAAAACACCCCTTGATGAGACATTTCTACAGGACCCTGATTTTTCCTCGTCAGGTGCTGACCCCAGGGTGACTTGCCTCATCCACACATCTTCCTTTCCTTCTTTTCGGATCTCAGGTGTCCGTGAGTCTCGGATCATAACATGGTGTCCTCATCGGTTCATGTGTGGTTCTCCTTGATTCTTACGTGGGTGTTAGTCACTCAGTCATGTCTGACTCTTTGTGACCCCATGGGCTGTAGCCCACCGGGCTCCTCAGTCCATGGGATTCTCCAGGCAAGAATACTGGAGTGGGTTGCCATTTCTTTCTCCAGGGGATCTTCCCGACCCAGAGAGCAAACCCCGGTCTCCCACACTGCAGGCAGCTTCTTTGCTATCTGAGCCACCTGGGAAGCCCTGGATTCTGATATTCGTATATAAAGTAAGGCAAAACTGAATTCTGTAAAGCATACAGCAAGCTAGTCTTTCATGAAATTATGTCACTTACGTCCCCAGGGAGCGGGCTTTGGTGGGGGTGGAAAGGTGTTTTCTCCAAGAGCTTGGCTTGTTTGACCGTCTCTGCCCCTATGCACCCATCACCAGAAGCGGGCGTGGAGCTGGTGAGCCTGCCCTACCGCCTGGTGTTCGCGGTGGCTTCCGAGGACTCGGTGCTTCTCTACGACACCCAGCAGCTGTTCCCGTTTGGCTACGTGTCCAACATCCATTACCACACCCTGAGCGACATTTCCTGGTGAGTGGGCAGTGAGGACGCACCCTCCCCTGGAGTAGCCCTGCAGTTGGCTTGGTTGGCCCTTATTTACCAGCTTTTTTTTTTTTGAAAAGATTAACATTAAAAGGAAATCTGTGTCTCACTTGCTACAATACTGCTTCTGGTGGTCATGTCAGTGGGTGTTGATGCCACACAGATCGCCCTGTGGATTCTTCCCATTCTTATAAACCAAGGGGAAGACACCTGGGCTCCCTGGTCGTCTAGGGACTCACAGGAGTCCTCCCCGCCAGAGTCGAGAGGAGGGAAGCCCAGACACAGAGGGGGACCCGGAAACAGGCCCGTCCTGGGGGGTCGCCACCCTGGCCTTCCTGCTTGGGGTTCTTAGCACCCCCGGTCCCTTACTCCGTCTCTCCCGCCCGCTGGGGCCCAGCCTGGGCCTGGCCACCCTGCCAGCCAGCCGGTTCCTGCTGTTTGTAACTCTTGATCTTCTTCCTGTCCTATTTTTATCTTGGTGGGCGAGAGGAGGCCGTCTCACATAGATTCCCCGGTGGATTTTGTGAAAAGGCAGAGACACTGGGGCCCTGAAAAGCTTGAGGTGGTGGTGCAGGGGATGGGGGGGCAGGGAAGGGGCTCCAAGAGCCCTTCCTCAGCCAGGCCCCCTCCCCCGGACGACTCTTGCCTTCAAACAAAGCTGGGGACGGTCTTCGAACTTGCGTTCTCCTGCCTGGTGATGAGCACGCCCAGAGTGGCCTACAGCATTCGGTAAACTTCCTCCCTTCTGCTTCTGTTTTGGGAATGAAGGTCCAGCGACGGGGCCTTCCTGGCCATCTCTTCCACAGACGGTTACTGCTCCTTCGTGACGTTCGAGAAAGATGAGCTTGGAATCCCCTTGAAAGAGAAGCCGGTTCTGAGCGTGCGAACTCCTGATATAGCAAAGAAAACCAAGAGTCAGACCCCCTCGGGGTCTTCGCCAGGACCCAGGCCAGGGGAGGGGACCCCCACCGGCAGAGTCCAGGACCCCAACAGTCCCTCTGCCACCCCCCCGCAGGTGAAACAGTCTCCAGCCCCCCCGGCGGCCAAGGACAGCCCCGCGGCCGCTCCCGCTTCCAGGGTCTCCCCGGCAGGGCCCCCTAAGGAGAAGCCCCCGCAGCCCAGCAGTCAGAGCACCAAGGCCCTGCCGTCCCGGAGGGTCACCCTGCACACCCTGCAGGCCTGGAGCAAGCCCACGCCCCGGTGAGCACTCGGACGCAGAAGGCAGGCGTCCTCGAGGCTGAGGCAGCACGGCCCCCCGCCCCACACCGCACGGCGGCCGGAGAGACGTTTCCTGACATCTGTGGGGCCCCATCCTCGCTCAGACCCTCCGCCCACCTCGCTTCTAGGTGGGGGAGGGGGGCGGGACAGTGTTTGAAGTCTTTTTGGTATTAAAGTTCCCCCCCTTTAATTTCTTGTGAACTTCTTGCAGTTAGAGTTTTAAGAAAGTAACTGTTGAGAATTGAGACTGGATTTTTTAAAAAAAGAACCATCCGTGTCTTAGAGCTTCCATACCAGAAGCCATGGCCATTAGGCTTTATATGAAGCATCCAGCAGAGTGGTTAATGTGTCACTGAAAATTCACAAAGCACGGATTCTGAAGCTTTTAGATAACTGGTTGACTGATTTATGTGCCGATGTAACTGAGTAAGTGGTCCTTGGTTACTGAGTAAGGAGGCACATTGACACAGTATTCAGCGCCTCCGTGATGTCAGCTGATAGCTGTGTTTCCTTGGAACCTTGGTACCACATACAGTCAATCCCTGTGACACTCACGACCTTTTACTTCTCTTTTTAATCTAGGAGAATAAACTTAATACCCTTAAAGACAGATTCTCCACTGAACTCCATATCAACCCCCATAACTTCCAGCCCTTCCACAGAGGAAATTCAATCAGGTGAGCAACACTGTGGGCTTTCCTGGTGGCTCAGCTGGTAAACAATCCGCCGGCAGTGCGGGAGACCCGGGTTTGATCCCTGGGTCGGGAAGATCCCCTGGAGAAGGGAATGGCCACCCACTCCAGTATTGCTGCCTGGAGAATCCCATGGACAGAGGAGCCTGGTGGGCTGCAGTCCGTGGGGTCACAAAGAGTTGGACACGACTGAGTGATTAACACTTTAACTTTCAAGCGACACTGTTACTGGTCTAATATAATTAAAGAGAATCTTGTCTCTTTTGGAAATGAACACCGCCTGAGTTTAAGTCCGTTCTGAGAAAGCAAGGATGCATCTTTGGACTTCCCTGGTGGTCCAGTGGCCAAGACTCCACTCTCCCAATGCAGGGAGCCTGGGTTCAGTCCCTGGTTGGGGAACCAGATCCTGTGTGTCTCCACTAAGACCCCACACAGCCATATAAATAAAAATAAATAAAACCTGGCTTTAAAAAAGGATGCATCTTACCAGGCTTGTTTAAACCTGGGGGAGACGGTGTAGAGCTGGTTCCCAGTCTAGTCCAGTTGGCGCTGTGGGCATCACTCCTGGCTGTGGGGCTGTCCTTGGATGCAGGCAGCGTAGCAGCACCCCTGGATGCGCTCCTCCCTTCCCCCTCCTCGTGACACTCTGCAGTGTCACCAGACTCTGCCCACTGCCCCTCGAGGGCACAGCCACCCCTGGCTGCGAACCGCTGGGTCACATCTCCCCCTCAGATCCACGAAGGACCTGGCCAGGCAGTCCAGTTCCTTTTTCTGGACACGAAATTTATCTCGTAAACTTCAGCTCTTAACTTTAGAGATGTCTTCACTCACCTGCCAACCCTGTGTGTGTTTAAGCCTCAGAGATGCTTGCAGACCCTCAGGTCAGCCCCCCGGAGCTGAAGCGGCCCCGATTCGGTGAGCATGGAGAAGGACCCCAGTGAGACCTGTCCTGTGCCTGAAGGCACCTGAGACCAGTGGCATCCGACGGAAATGGATTTCAGTAACGGAAGATACATGTGGACTGGTCTCCAGAGATATGTCGCCTCTTGTATTTAGGATACATTTTTACCTCAGAGATGTGAACATCTTAATAGACTACATTCTCTTTTTCTTGATTTCCTGAGATGGGAGCCCTGTGTCATCCATGGGGTTGCAAAGACTCGGATAAGACTGAGCAACTTTCACTTTCAGTGCTACCTAGTGTGAAAATGAGTGACTCTCGCCTCGGAATATTTGTATAAAAATGCAGACACTTGACAGTGGATTCTCCTACAGCCAGAATTGGAGGAGACCGTACTTTGAGAAGGTTTATTCCATTTAGGTTTTAGTGTATTGGATGATTTGATCAACTTCGCTCCTAAATAGTTGATTAACTTTTGGAAGTTTGTTATGTTTGCTTTCAGGTTTTAACGGTAATAATGCTCTTTCTAGAAAGATAGTAGACTAGAGTGAATTAGGACAAAAGAAACTGGCTTGGAGGTGGAAATCACCCATCTCACCACCAAAAGGAAACCCTTGCTACTGTTTCAGCATATTTCCTTTTTTAAATTTTTTTTTTTAATGTTATTTTTGGGAGGAGGAAGGGTTCCGATCTCACTTTATATGCAGTTTGGTTAACACATAGGTTACCTTCTTGATTTTTCAAAGCAAAAGAAGTACCTTTCCTCGGTGGTCTGTGCTTCTGCCCGCTCAGCACCTGGGCTGCTGCTGTGGTCCTTTCCCACCTGGGAGTAAATGGGCTTTGTGGGCTGAGATGTGTGACGTGCCGTCCCGCAGCAGGCATCACACGTTTGGAGGCTCCTCTTAGCCCGAGAGACGCTGGCGCCGTGGCCGACGGTGGCAACGGGCGCGGCCCCGGGCGCCGGTGCGGCTGCGTCACGCTGAGCGGAGCTGACAGCTGCTTCCGCGACGCCTGATGCCGTCTGTCACCCTGGCAGATGAAGCCCCCAGGCGAGGCTGCACCAGCGCCCCTTGCCCCAGCTGAGCCAGACCAGAGGGCGAGTTCAGGGCCCGCACATCCCGCCTCTGCGGGGAGCCCCTGCGGGTGGGAGGACGACCCTCAGCTCAGGCCGGCAGCAGGAAAGAGAGTTGGAAAGAACTTGGTTCTTTGTTGTCTCATCCACAGCCTGTGCACGTGTGTGTGCTCCGTCGTGTCCGACTCTCTGCGACCACATGGACTGTAGCCCCCGCCAGCCTCCTCAGTCCATGGGATGCTCCAGGCAAGAATACTGGAGCGGGTTGCCGTGTCCTCCAGAGCACCTTCCCAAACCTGCGTCTCCTGCATCGTCAGGCAGATTCTTCAGCACTGAGTCACCTGGGAAGCTCCGTCCACAACCCAGTTAACCGGAAAAAGAGCCCGCCTCCCTCTTCACGGGAAAGAGGCAAAGGGATGATTTACAACGCGGAGAGCTTGCAGGTGAATCGACGCAGAGTTGTAGTAACACAGGTGTGGGTCACGTCCAGTAGGAAGATGTTTTAAGAGGTCGAACAGCAGCTGTTTTGACCAGGGGTTTTCCACCTTGAGGCCCCCCAAAGAGCTGCCAGACATCACGCCCGGGTCCTGCCACCCAAGTCTGGCTTCCGTGGTCTGTGGCACCGTCTGAACCTCAGGATTCTTGAAGGCTCCACTGGCGATCTAAGGCGCAGCCAGGATTAAGAAGAGGGAAGCTTTCCCTGGAGGCAGTCTCTGCCTGTTAAATGCATCTGCACCAAAAGCTTTCTCTTGCTTTCCTGGTCCATCACTGAGGGACAGCAGCTTTCTTTACCAAACCGAAAGGATAACAACGTGTGGGAGATGCCATCAGCTATTCAGAGGAAAAATGACTAAATTTCTTGCAGCTGGGGACTTCCCTGGCGGTCCGATGGCTAAGACTCCTGCGTGCTTCCAATGCAGGATCGGGGCACAGGTTCGACCTCTATTCAGGGAACTAGATCACATGTGCTAGGGGGCTCAGCCAAAAAATAAAAGTATCCTGCAGCTGGAGCGAGGGCTCTTTTTTGGGGGTTGGTCCCCGTGCGAACAGGGGTCACTGTGGGTCCCGCGTGCCTCGGTGAGCAGGACTGCACTCTGACCACCCCCAGCGGAGGGGCGGCAGGCATGGGGCGGGAGGAGGCAGGGTGCGTGTTTGTGGGCACAGTTATCACCTGTTTGCCACCCTGACTATAAATTACACACTCCGCACTAAGGGCCCCGGCGCGGCACCCCGCCTCCTGATCCAAAGCCGCCTGCTTCCACCCGGCGGTGGTGGGGGGAGCTGCTGGGGGGACCGTATCCGTGCTGAGCGCAGGGACCTGCTCAACATTCTGGGTCTGTAGGGGATGGGGTTTGTGTCTGAACCCCGGCTGCCTGCTGGGTGGAGAGAGGTTCGGGAGAACTTGATAACAAGTCCCCTGGAGTCTGGGGAGGAGCGGCCCGCAGGCCTGCGGGAGGAGGGCTGGCGGGGCGGCTGGCAGCAGAGGTGACGGCTCCGTCACACCAGGCGTGCGGGCAGGGCCCGCGGCGGGTGACCAGGCCCATCAGGGCGCCCCGTGGGGAAGAGGCAGGAGGGCGAGTCAGCGTCCAGGCGTCTGACCCATTTCTGTCCCCTGCCAGCCACTGTGGTCCTTGCTGAAAGCACCCCGTCTGCATTGTCATGATGCTTTGGACCCTTCTTACCAAGTGATTTGTCAGTGTCCATTTAAGTAACGTAGATCTCAAGTCCTGGGGGTGGGGGTGAGTGAGGGGTGCAGGAGGAACGCGTCTGTTCCCCCGTCCCAGCTAGACTCTCCCAGCCCTCCTGCACCTCCCCTTTTGGATTATTTTTGCTGTATTGCAGCCTCAGCTCCCTCTCCCTGATACGTGTCTGTCTGCCTGTCTGTCTGTCAGTCTCTATGGGAGAGGCAGGACCTCGGACAAGCTACTTCATCTGAGGAAGTTTCTTCACAGCTCTAAAGACTGTGCCTCCTTTGGCAGGGGAGAAGGGTCAGAGAAAAGGCAGGAAGGCAGACATGAGAAACAGAATCAAAGGGCGAGGGTAAACCAGAGCCCGTCTCCTCCCTGTGTGTGGGGGTCACAGGCACAAGGGTTTCCCTGGTGGCTCAGCTGGTAAAGAATCCGCCTGCAGTGCTGGAGACCTCGGTTCAGTCCCTGGGTTGGGAAGATGCCCTGGAGAAGGGAAAGGCTGCCCACTCCAGTATTCTGGCCTGGAGAATTCCATGGACAGTCCATGGGGTCGCAAAGAGTCAGGCACGACTGAGCGACTTTCCCTTTCAATAGGCACCTGCTCTCGCCGAGGTATGAACTCTCGTGGGCACTAGAGGGCGCTGTCCGCACTGGCCCGGCCTGGTACTAGAGTCTGGGCTGATGCTGGAGTCTGGTACTGCCTGGGCTCCGACTGTCTGCTGCCCAGTCAGTCCTGCCTCTCCTGGAGGGGTCCACGTCCCTGTCAGGCTTGACGTGAGTGGCCTTGGATGCCGGCTTCAGCCCCTGCTGGCCAGACAGAGCAACAGATCACGCTGGGAGAGGATTATGGAAATAATCCATGTGTCCTCATCTGCTCACTTGGTTCATTTGTCTGTTGGATACCTAGATACCCTGGTAGCTCAGCTGGTAAAGAATCTGCCTGCCATGTGGGAGACGTGGGTTCGAGCCCTGGGTTGGGAAGACCCCCTGGATTGGATCCCTCTGGTATTCTTGCCTAGAGAATCCCCATGGACAGAAGAGCCTGGTGGGCTACAGTCCACGGGGTCGCGAAGAGTCAGACACGACTGAGTGGCTAGGCATAGCACAGCACGCAGACACCAGTGGATACATCGGGGCGCAAAACAGCTCTGCCCTCCCGCAGCGCACGTTCTGCTGGGGGAAGACCAACCATAAAGCTAGTGCATATAAGAAGATGACTTATGGAAAAAAGAAAGGTGAGGGGCGTCAGGGGAGCTGGGTGGAGGGTGGGTTGCAGCTTACAGTGGAGGAGGCCTCTCAGGGAGGCGGGAACAAGGGAGGGGGCAGGGAAGGAAGGAGGCAGATCAGGCATTTAGGTTTTCCCAAGAGCAAGACACCCTTCTCAGCCCATCTCTGATGCATCCAGTGGGCATCCCCTGGGCTCAGGCTGCTCCTGAGTGATGGGGAGGGGACAGACGGCAGCCCCCTGCCGGCGAGGAGCCCCACTGCCGGCTCCTTGGCCTCCCTTGGTGCCTCACTCTCACCTGGCATTGAGAATGGGTTCAATTCAGTTCAGTCGCTCAGTCATGTCCAACTCTTTGCGACCCCATGGACTGCAGCACGCCAGACCTCCCTGTCCATCACCAACTCCAGGAACTTACTCAAATTCATGTCCATCAAGTCAGTGATGCCATCCAACCATGTCATCCTCTGTCGCCCCCTTCTCCTCCCGCCTTCAGTCTTTCCCAGCATCAGGGTCTTTTCCAAGGAGTCAGTTCTTCGCATCAGGTGGCTAAAGTGTTGGAGCTTCAGCTTCAGCATCAGTCCTTCCAGTGAATATTCAGGACTGATTTCCTTTAGGGTGGACTGATTGGATCTCCTTGCAGTCCAAGGGAATGGGTAGGAGTTGTGAAATCCAGACAAGATGCCAGTGATGGGCCGTTAAAATTCTTTTAACTCACTGATTTCATAAAGAACCTCCATATTCAGCTACTCAAGAGGCCGAATCTTGAAGAAAACTTCGCTCTTCCCCCCCGCCCCCAGCGTCACTGCATTTCTAACCCAGAAGTCACAGGATTGAGTTGACGCTGTGCTCTTGGAGCCGCCCCCCAAAGCGAGAACCAGCTCTCGGTTACCGGTGGGACGAGCGCTCCGACAGGCCACTAGGGGGCGATATTGCCAGGCCTTGGCTCCACCGTCAAATTTATTAACTCATTTCAAATATTTTCACTGAAAGTGTTTCTAATCCCGTTGTTATGGAAGTAGTATATTATCTATTACAATACACTTTTCATGTTTATTACTTTCTAGATAATTAAATGCTATTTTGTCATCCCAAAGAGCTCTATAAATCCAAGTCACATGCTGACTCAGGGCACACCAGGAGAACTTCATATATATGTAAGTTAGGTTGAAAAGGCACTTATATTCACTGTACCAAAAGTATAAGGAGCTTGAAGACACTAGCTTCAGACAGGTTTTTAAATTTTTAAACCCCCCCAAAAAAATACAGTCTTAATAATGACCTTTCTCTACATTAGCAGCAAAGGTAATATCTGCTGCGCCTCCCAACTGTACAAAGACATATGCACAAAGATTTGTTGCAATATTTGGAAATGGAAAACAAGACCAGAAATCACCAAAGTGTCTGCCAAAAGGAGGTTAAGTCACGGGGTAGCTATATGGTGGCATGTGATGCAGCTGTTAGCTAGACCTCGTCGCTGCTGCGGAAAAATGTTAATACTGACCACAGTAGTACGCTTTTTGTTACCCGAACGTTACTGACCAGAGATGCTTCAGTATTCACCTACATAACAAATCTTTGACCACAGTCCTTAGCTTCTGCAAAAATCCCCTGTTCAATAATGTGGCGAGTGCAGAAATAAAGGTGAAATCTGATTTATCACGTTCCCTGCAAGCTGACAGGGGACTGGCCCGAAAGGCTCTGGGGTAAGCAGGCACCACGTTGGGACTAGAGCAGCGTTTGGCTCCAAACCTTTTCCTCAGGAGTCGAGGGAGAGGGCAGCTTCTGCTTAGGACGCTCGACGCCCTTCCAGTTTTATTTTTTTAATTTTTCCAGCCTCCTCTGTCCATGGGATTCTCCAGGCCAGAATACTGGAGTGGGTTGCCATTTCCTTCTCCAGGAGATCTTCCCGATCCAGGGAGCGAACCCAGGTGTCCTGCATTGCGGGCACGTTCTTTACCTTCTGAGTCACCAGGGAAGCCCCTCCTTTTTAAAATTTATTTATTCTTAATTGCTGGATAATTGCTTTTACATTATTGTGTTGGTTTCCACCATCAACATGAACCCTTCCAGCTTTAGATTTCAAACCAGCACCTAACAATTCTAGCCCTGGTTCCACTTGCTGGTGCACGCGAGACTGGCGCAGGTGTTGTCCTAGATGCTGGCGGGGGACTTAGGCCTGCAAGCCAAGTGGTTGTGGGGTTATCACCACAAATGTGGCTGCCAGAGTGTGTGAGGTGGCGTGAAGGGGGCCTGGTGGGCGCATAACCAGGCATGGGCTTTGGAGCTAGAACGGGTGCAGTTTTCATTCTGGCTCAACTGCTAAACGTCCGTGTGACTTGGCACATTTCACATCCTCTCCCTAGGCCTCAATTTTCCCATCTGTAAAATAGAAATGTAGCTTTTGCCTCATATGGTAGTTGAAAGGATTGACTAAGACTTGTACCTTCCTCTTAAACTGAGACTTCCATTTTCTCAGGGGAGAAATTTTGCCATCCCTGGGGAGATATTTAACCACTATACTAGGGTTCTCCAGACAAGTACACAATAGGATATGTGTATATATGAATATGCACATATCTTTATATATATATTTTTTTATATATATATGTATTTAAATATACACACACTTCCCAGGTGGCACTAGTGGTAAAGAATCCACCTGCCAATGCAGGAGACTCAGGAGATGCAGGTTTGATTCCTGGGTCGGGAAGATCTCCTGGAGAAGGAAATGGCAACCCACTCCAGTATTCTTGCCTGAAAAATGCTATGGAGAGAGGAGCCTGGTGGGCTACAGCCCATGGGGTCACAAAGAGTTGGAAATGACTTAGTGACTGAGCAAGCATGCAGGTAAATTTACACACATATTTATATATATGTATATAAGTATACATACACATGTATGTATATAACCATACCCACATATATGTATATAACTATACATATATGTGAATTTATACATATGTATAAATACACAAATGAGAGGGAAAGGGAGAGAGATTCACTATAAGAACTGGCTTACACGATCATGGAAGCTAGCAAGTCCCAAATCTGCAGTGTGGGCCAGCCGCCTAGAGACCCAGGAAAGCCGATGCTGAAGTTCCGATCCAAAGGCTGCCAAGTGGAAACCCAGGAGAGTTCCCTCTTGCTTAGTGAGGCTGGACTTTCTGTTCTACTCAGCTCTTCGACTGATTGGACGAGGCCCCGCAGGTTAGGGAGAACAATCCACTCACTCAGAGTTCACAGATTTAAATGCTACTCTCACCCCAACACACTCTCTAAATGAACACTTAAAATTAGCCATCATGTAAATAACAAGGGCCTACTGTATAGCTCAGGGAACTATATTTGATATCTATACATTAGGGATCAAATCTGGATCTTCGGCAGATCTGAATCTGCAGTCAGATTCTTTACCATCTGAGTCCCAGGGGAAGCCCCATATAATGAAACGAATCTGAAAAAAAAATAAGATAACTGAATCAACTTGCTGTAGATCTGAAGCCAACACAACATTACAGGTCAACTCCATTTCCCTAAGAAATAAATTCACATAAAAAAAAATCAACCACCACAACCACCAGTTCTGGCCAACCTTGGAAATTGAGAATGCCATGGTCTGGTGAGCAGACCAGCAGACTGGACTCTGACAGTAGATCTGGGTCCCTAATTCACGGTTAATTTGGTCTGTTAGATACCTAGGTAAAAGGCCCTCTCTTCACCCTAATAATGCTAATCTACGAGAATCCACGATATTCTGACAGCTCCTAGAAGAGCAATTCAGGAACTACTAAAATAGCATGGAAGTGGTTTCCTATGAGACGGTACAAGCAGAAGCACCTGTGAGTTAACCTGTGGCAGCTGAACCCAGCAGAACCCAGGTTCTCAGCAATCGCAGGGGTTGAAGTTCAGCCAGCTGGTCTGGGCTTGAACTCTGGCTCCGCCACTTGCTGTGTGGCCAAGGGTTTGTTGCTCAGCCTTGGTGAGCCTTGCCTGCCTTGCTCACCTGTAACATGAGATGACAGAGAGCCCTGGCCTCACGGACCTGCCATGCCGATTCAGTGAGAAGCCATGGGGGGTGGGCGCGTGCACGGAGTAGGTGCCCCCCACCCACCGAGCCTCAAACACAACAGCCATTCCTGCTCCTGTAACACCTCCATCACCTCCACCACTAAGCGTGACCCCTCCTAGTGGGTGCACGCTACAGGGCTTTAGGATGGGGTAGGGCAAGGACTGACTTGAAGGATGATATTTAAGCCAAGACTTGAAATATGAGGAGGGGTGGGTAGAAGAAACAGCTAGAAAGGCCCCAAGTTGGGAAGGCCTGACCTTTCAGGAATGGACAGATAGACTGATATTCGTGTGGCTGGAGCTTTGTGAACCAGCCAGTAGACAGTGTGTGATGAGTTCAGAGATGGGGGCGGGTTAAGCTTGGAGGGGAGCCTGAATATATTCAAAGTGCAAAGGGGAACCCCTCACAGGCACCCACTGCCCGCTGTGTTTTAGAAAGAGCTCTCTGCATGCACACGGAGAATGGTGCAGAGAACCCCGGTCAGGAGGCTACTGCAATAGTCCGAGCAGTGGTGATGGGCCTGGGCCAGAATGTTGGCCTGGGGTGGGAATGAGGGGAGCCACACTTGAGTAGCATTCCGGAGATCAAAATGACAGTCCTTGTAGCGACTCTGACTCTGATGACTGTGGTTATTCACTCGTGACATGAAATTCCAAGACCGCACACCAGGGGGGCCTTAGAGATTGGAGTTACAGAGCTGGAAGCCGTCAGCGTGGTGGGATTCCCGCATGTTCGGCCAATTGCCCTTCTTACAGGAAGCGGAGGGACGGAGGCCCAGGAAGGGTAGGTGCCCATGCTGGGCTGTATGAGGGGCAGAGGCTGAACTGGCTTCCAGGAGATCAGAGCCCCAGGGCCAGACCCTTGACCACCACCGGAAGTCCTGCTCAGGTAACTGCCCCCTGGTCCCAAGTGTGGTTGCTGTGTGTTGCGGCTTTATCTCACCCAGCCTCAACTTGGACCCTCCCAGTGATGGGGAGCTCACCACCATGTGCTCCGTCTCTGCTCAGCCTAGGTGGATGCATCTCCCACCTGTGGAATCAAACCCGGGTCCGCTTATGTCCACACAGAGCAGCACGCACCCTTGTTCCGGTGTGTAATGCAATTCCACCGCCTCATTCGGGGGGTTCTCTTTTCCAGGCTAAACATGCTCCAGGAAGAGCAGGGTCTCCGAACACACAGCTGCCAAACCACTGCCCCGCCCCAGGCGGTGAAAACCACTGCAGTGGCAGCAGCGGCAGAAATGACAGCGTCGCGGGGCAGCTTGGCCCGAGTCACAAACCTGGGTCTGTCCCGTCCCCAATGGCCATTTTTACCTCTAAGGCCAGACCTTCCGCTTCATCGGGTGTCTCCTGTCTCCTGGCTGACGCAGCAGATGGAGGGACACCATCTGGCCATCCAGAGGCCTCCGTAAAAGGCGTGAGACCCGCAGGGTGTTTGGGGGGTCGCGGCCGGCGGGGCGGGCGGACACCAGGTCTGTGCCCTCGACGGCCTGGCCTTCACATGCAGCCTCGGGTTGGCTGCTTGTGCTTATCTGCTCAGCAGCGCAGCAAATTGTGCAACCAGAGCTCTCGTCTCCCGTGCGACGTGGGGGTGCCATACTGTGCTTCACTAAGCAAGAGGGTTGGAAGGAGAGCCTTGGGACTTCTCGGGCGGTCCAGTGGCAAAGACTGTGCACTCCCAATGCCGGGGGTGGGGGTGTCCAGGTTCGATTCCCAGTCAGGGAACTAGATGCACATGCCACAAATGCAATGAAGATCCTGCATGTGGCAACTAAGATCCAGGGCAGCCAAATGAATGCATATTAATATTTAAAAAGAAAACAAGAAAGAGGGCCTCAGTGGAGACGCCCCACCCGCCACCCACCTTGGGGAGAGAAGTTGGTTTCTCTGGGCACGAGCCATTCAAGGCTCAGCTCTGAGATGCTAGAGGAATCAGGGCTGGTCCTTCATCCTGGGGTCTTTTTTTCTGTTCTTGGGTGTGTCTGCTCCAGCCCTGAGTGCTGGCGGAATATGCAGTGGAGGACCTGGGGCTGCCAACACACTCAGGGGGACCCCAAAGGGGAGACTGAGCTTGTGGCCGCCTGCCTGGCTTGGCCTGGCCTGGCCCGGGACCCCTTCCCAGTGGCTAGGATGGATCTGCTGGGCTCCCCTTGGCAGAAAGGGGGTGGCCCTGGGCCCAGAGAACTGGCCTGGAGGCCCAGCCCCACTGATATAATGCCTGTGGCCGTGGGCAAATCACGTGTCCTCCCTGCACCTTGGGTTCCCTGGGGAAGGCCAGGGTGCCGACCGCTCTTATCTCCTTGGTTCCGTGAGAAGGAAGCAGTGAAGGGCCTTCTGTGTAGTAGACGCTCACTGAGCACCAGGGATGCTGAAATGAAATTCATATTTTTGGCAAGACAAGAAGCGTTAGATGTAACATGTTCTCGGCCCCTCTGGGCCTCCTCCCTCTCCTGCAGTGTGTCTTATGCTGCATTAACCAGACTTCCTTAACAGATAACTCTCCTGCTTAATCTCGAGGGGCCAACGCCTTAGGAGATGCCCTTCGTTTTTAATCGTTAAGGGACCACAGCGAGCCATAACGCACTGCTCACTTTGTACATGTAGCTCTAGATTGTGTGAACTGTCAATATGCTGTCTGATGTATAATCCTTTGTCTTAAAAATGTATATAACTGTGCTTTAACAGGCAGAAGGGTCCTCAGAGCTTTCTGAAAGATTGTCTCCCAGGTTGTAATCCTCAGGCTGGTGCACATAAAATTTTCCATGTCTATCTTGCTAAGTTGCTTCAATTCTATCCTACTCTTTGTGACCCTATGGACTGTAGTCTGCCAGTAGGCTCCTTTGTCCATGGGATTCTCCAGGCAAGAACACTGGAGTGCGTTGCCATGCCCTCTTCCAGGGGATCTTCCCAACCCAGAGAGTCTCTTAAGTCTCCTGGGTTGGCAGGTGGGTCTTTACCACTAGTGCCACCTGGGAAGCCCATTTCTTTCTTTCTTGAGGGCTGGCTGTTCGGTCGTGTCTGACTCTTTGTGACCCCTGTGGACGGTAGCCAGCCAGGCTCTTCTATCCATGGGATTTTCTCAGGCAAGGATACTGGAGTGGATTGCCATTCCCTTCTCCGGGAGACCTTCCCAACCCAGGGATTGAACCCGGCTCTCCTGCATAACAGGCAGATTCTTTATCTTCTGAGCTACCAGGGAAGCCCATTTCTTTCTTAAATTGATTGGTTTTTTTCATTAACAGTGTTTTGCTTTTAGATTTGAAAACCACTGACAAGAAGTCACCTTGGTCTCTCTTGGACAGGCCCGTGTCCGGCCTGAGGTTCCCAGCCATCACCACCGGCAGCACCTCCAGTGCGCCTGGGAGCCACTCCTTCTGGCCCTTGTCCAGGGTGATGCTGCCCCCAAGTCCATTCCCAAGGGGGATTTCTGGAGCAGAACCAGTTCTCTCTCCTGCTCCATCTCTCTGCCACTCCCACCCCACCATCCATCTGAGAGCTCAGGGAAAGCAGGGACTGGATTTTCTTTTTTAAAGTTATAAAAGAAAGTGAAAGTGAAAGTCACTCAGTCCTGTCGGACTCTTTGCAAGGAACTCTCCAGGCCAGAATACTGGAGTGGGTAGCCTATCCCTTCCCCAGCGGATCTTCCCAACCCTGGGATCGAACTCAGGTCTCCTGCATTGCAGGTGGATTCTTAACCAGCTGAGCCACAAGGGAAGCCCAAGAATACTGGAGTGGGTAGCCTATCCCTGTTTTTAGTTACCAGAATGTTATTGACCAGAGATGTTTCAATAGTCACTTACATAACATTCCTCTTACCCCACAGCCTCTGGTAACCTCTATTCTACTTTGTCTGTATGAATTTGCCTCTTCTGTATGTTTCATTTAACTGGAATCATACACTGTCTGTCCTTTCGTGACTGGCTTACTTCACTTAGCATAATTTTGAAGTTCATCCATGTTGCAGCATGTACTAGAACTTAACTTCTTCTTATGACCAAACTATATTCCATTGTATAGCTATGCCACATTGTGTTTATTCATTCATTTGTTTATGAACACTTGGATTGTCTCCACTTTTTGGCTAGTATAAATGATGTTCCTATGAACCCTAGTATACAAGTATCCATTTGAGTCTGTCGTCAGTTCTATTTTCTTGGGCTCCCAAATCACTGCAGATGGTGACTACAGCCACAAAATTAAAAGATGCTTGCTCTTTGGAAGAAAAGCTATGACAAACCTAGACAGCATATTCAAAAACAGAGACATCACTTTGCCAACAAAGGTCCATATAGTCAACTATGGTTTTTCCAGTAGTCATGTACAGATGTGAGAGTTGGACCATAAGAAGGCTGAGTGCTGAAGAATTGATGCTTTTGAATTGTGGTGCTAGACAAGACTCTTGAGTCACTTGGACAGCAAGGATATCAAATCAGCCAATCCTAAAGGAAATCAACCTTGAATATTCATTCATTGGAAGGACTGATGCTGAAGCACCAATACTTTGGCTGCCTGATGTGAAGTCGACTCATTGGAAAAGACCCTGATGCTGGGAAAGATTGAAGGCAGGAGGAGAAGGGGACAACAGAGGATGAGATGGTTGGATGGCATCACTGACTCAATGGACATGGATTTGGGCAAACTCCAGGAGATAGTGAAGGACAGGGAAGCCTGGCGTGCTGCAGTCCATGGGGTTGCAAAGAGTCGGACATGACTGAGCAACTGGACAACAACAACAATAGCACAATAGATTGAATTGTGTCCCCCCAAAAGATACAATGGAATCCTAACCCCAGCACATCAGAATGTAATTTTATTTAGAGATAGGATCTTTATTTAGAAATAGGATCTTTACAGAGACAATTGAGTTAAAATGATGTCATTAGTGTGGGCCTTTATCCAACATGCCTGTGTTCTTATGAAGAAGAGAATCTGGACACAGGGGTGGAGATGCACAAAGGCAGACAACGTGAAGACGCAGGGAGGAGATGACCACGGAGAAGCCAGCTAGAAAGGCCTCGTGGGCCCGCAGAGCCGCAGAGGGAACCGAGCCTGCCCACACCCGTGGCCTGGGACTTCCAGCCTCAGAACTGGGAGACCAGACCTTTCTGTCGTCTAAGCTGCCCAGTTCGTGGTTCTTTGTTACAGCAGACGTAAGACACAAATACAGGAACTTCCCTTGTGGTCCAGTGGTTAAGACGCCCCCTTCCAATGCAACGGCTCAATCCATGAGTTCGATTCCTGGTCGGGGAGCTTAGATCCCACGTGCCTCGTGGCCAAAAAACAAACAAACAAAAAATCCCATCAAGACATAAAACAGGAGCAATATTGTAACAGACTCAGGAAAGACTTTAAAAATGGTCCACATTAAAAAAAAAAATCTTAAGGAAACCAGCACATATGGTAATTATCATTGTGATCTTGATTTGCATTTCACTGATGACTAATGATGCAGAGCATCGTTTCATGTGCTTATTAGCCGTTTGTTTGTCTTCTTTTCATTTTTAAAATCTCCAGTGCATAGCATAGTATCTGATATGCTCAGAAAAGATATTTTGATTTATGGATGGACAGAAACTCCTGGTCTTGAGTCTCCCAGCTGCCTTTACGTGCACGTGGTACCTGAGAAAGTTACGGAAGTCCTTTCAGCGGTTTCTCAATGTGCAGAAACAGAACTCATGCAGCCAGCGCGCTTGGCTCCCAAACTTCCCTCTGATGTGTTTACACTTACCTCTTATCCTCAGGGTGACCCTGAAATAGATTGCCCCACCCAGGGCACTTTCGGTAGATACATTAGGATAACTGATGACCCAGGGATGGTCCCAACACACCATATATGAGGTCAGCCTGGACAGCACACTTGGGCTATCCTGGCCGTCCGTCCAACCTGAACACTGAGCTCTTTGCCTGCACAGGGCCTTTGCATACACCACGTCTTCTGCCTGGAGGCCCCTTCGCTGCTCTACTCCCACCTGGCTCTTTGCTGACCCTCAGGTCTTGGCTTCAACCTCTTCTTTTCAAGAGGTCCTCACTGACCTCTTCCTGGCTGAGACCCACCTGTCATTCTCTCATGACTTCATGGCACTGATCACAGTGTATGATTATAAGTTCATTTGCTTGTATGCTTTTTGTCTGCCTAGACTGTCAGGATTTCCCTTTTATTTGGAGGGGGAAAAAATATAACAAACGTATTGCATGGTGCCTGTCAAAAGCGAGACAGTGAATAAATAGCTGTTGAAGGCTGCTGCTGCTAAGTCGCTTCAGTCGTGTCCAACTCTGTGCAACCCCATAGACGGCAGCCCACCAGGCTCCCCCGTCCCTGGGATTCTCTAGGCAAGAACGCTGGACTGGGTTGCCATTTCCTTCTCCAGTGCATGAAAGCGAAAAGTGAAAGTGAAGTCTCTCAGTCCTGTCGGACTCTTCGAGACCCCATGGACTGCAGCCTACCAGGCTCTTCTGTCCTTGGGATTTTCCAGGCAGGAGTATTGGAGTGGGGTGCCATTGCCTTCTCCAGCTGTTGAATGAATGAGCCATTAAGGTAAGAAAGACTCTGTCATGCGACTCTACAAAGGACAGCTGGGAAATAATAAAAACTTGGCTGAGAGAGACAAGGTCTGTGATGAGTGAACTCACAAGTTGTAAAACATTAAACCAATGAGGAACATTTGTCTCTTAACCTGCTCTTTAACCAGGGGATTTTCTGGAATCATTGTGAACATTGATCGTTTCTCTCTAACAGTTCTTATGAAGTGACTTCCCTGGCGGTCCAGTAGTTAAGTCTCTGCATTTCCACTGCAGGAGGAAGCTCTATCCCTGGTCAGGGAGCTTAAAAGATTCTGCATGCCGCTCCCGGTGCAGCCAAAATAGCCATTATGAAAATGGCCTCTTTCCTGTAGCCACGCACTCACCCATCCGCCTATCCACCTACCATGACCCAGCCATCATTCCAACCAACATCCATCCATCCATCCTTGCACCATTTCCCTGCCATGTAACCATACCCCGCCCCCCACCCCGCCCCGTCCCTTTCATCTACCTCTCACCTTGCATCACCTGTTCCCTCCCTACCAGCCTACCCTGGTCCCTGTCCCTGGTACTTGGCTTGGACATGCAGTCCCATTGGCTCTGAACAAATCACTCCAGCACGAACAGTAGTTTGCTTGGGTCCTCGGTGCCCATTTGAGGCATCCAAAGATGAAGGTTACCTGCATTCAAAACAATGAAGAGAGGGACTTCCCTGGTGGTCCAGTGGTTTGGAATCCGCCTTCCAATGCAGGGGACACGGGTTTGATCCCTGGTCAGGGAACAAGATCCCACAAGCTTTGGAGCAGCTAAGCCCACACACCACAACTAGAGAAGAAGATCTGGAGCTACAGCTGGAGGGGATTATGCACCACCACGAAGAGCCCACACCTTACAAGGGGAGATGCCACATACAACAACTAAGACTCGACACGGCCAGAAAAAAAAATCGTATATTAACGCATATGCGTGGAATCTAGAAAAATAGTACTGGTGAACCTATTTACAGGGAAGAAATGGAGATACAGACGTAGAGAAGGGACTTGTGGACAGAGGAGGGGAAGGAGAGGGTCAGAGGAATTGAGGAAGCTATGTTGGCACATATAGACGATCACGTGTGAAACAGACAGCCAGTGGGGAGCCACTGTATCACACGGGGAGCCCAGCCTGTCGCTCTGGGATGACTTAGGGTGGGGAGCAGGGGAGGAAGCTCAAGAGGGAAGGCATATATGATCATGAGAGATTCACCCTGTTGCATAGTAGGAGCCAACACAACATTGTAAAGCAATTCCATCAGTTCAGTTCAGTTCAGTTCAGTCGCTCAGTCATGTCTGACTCTTCACGACCCCATGAACCGCAGCACGCCAGGCCTCCCTGTCCATCACCAACTCCCGGAGTCTACCCAAACCCATGTCCATCAAGTCGGTGATGCCATCTAACCATCCCATCCTCTGTCATCCCCTTCTCCCGCCTTCCATCTTTCCTAGCATCAGGGTCTTTTCTAATGAGCCAGTAAAGCATTATCCTCCAATTAGAAAAAAAAGAAATCATGAGGAGACTCCTGGGGTTCCCCCCAGACTGCGCCAGTTTGAGGGTAAGAAAGGCCGAGGCCCAGCAACAGGTCTGGGTCCTTTGAAGGTCAGCCTGCAGGTCTGTCTGCACCCAGCAATTCTGTGCTTGCCCTTCTCCCACCAGAGGGAGAGATGCCGCGAGTCTTAGGGGCCCTTGGAGGGGCTCCCTGCATGCCCACCACTCTCCCTTTCCTCCCTGTCTCCTGAGAACGCAGAGTGGGCTGGGGCTTTGGGGCTGCTCT